GTGCTTTTTTTGCAAAGTACCACAAACTGACAGGGTCTGGCTATAGACCATCCTAAATCCTATTAGCTTCTTGGACAGAAATACACATACCCATGTTGCTTGTTTTAGACACAGTGCTAGCTCTTCATTCTAGCAAGAAAAGGGCTGAAAGAATCAAAACACAAACAGGTGTGCTCTTGCACACATATTAGGAAAGAACTAGGTCTTCTCACTCGGGGTATGTGTGCTCCCTGGAAGAAAGCTACTCTCAAATTGCTTCATTCTTCCTTTTCTTAACTGTCTAAAAGTCGAGAGTCTAATGGCAGACTCACTGTGGTCCTGAGGATAGATCCATTTCTAGTTTAGGCCAATTGTCCAGGTATTTTGCCATGATATTATCAAGGCCAAGGTTGCAGAGTCTGATTCTCCACCAAGATCCATCAACTTCAGGAAGAGAAAACTTTAGAAATGTCTAAGCACTCTCCCCCAAGTGCTCACCCTCTTCCTAGTCGGTCCTTATAACACGGAATCAGGAAAGAACCTCCTAAGTCTTGCTAGAAAATTGATTCCATGTGTGCACCTTACAGAGGGCAACACTCATCTTGCTACCTCGTGTATCATCATTCTTCTCCTGTCTCCTGATGCCTATATGTATATTACTACTGGATATCACTATGGCCCCAGTGTAGAAGTGGTTACCGAAGTCATTTCTGGACTTTGCTATTCATCACATCTTCGAACATTAACGGGGGACAAGGGAAGACCAAATGTGACTGAGAGTCTAAGACTGTAGTCATTACTACGTTAACATAGGGTTGTTCAGAGCTGTTCATAAGTGCCAAGGTGGATGGATTAAATTCTTTCCCTGTTCTATTTCTTTTGGAAAGTTTGCCTTCATTAGGAGGGTGGTGAGGATGTTTGCATGGGTAAACAGTGTGTACGTATCGGTGCAAATTTTGAAATTTATTGTCATGACTAGTAGTCATTTCATTATTAGTATTTTGCATGGAGTCTTCAGGAGTGAAGGTGGGGAGGGCGGTGTGTAGTGAAAACAGAAAGTATTTCTAACACATGGGGCTTTTAACTCCTAAAGGAGCTTCCTTAAATATTGATTTTGTCAAGCATTTTTCAGCTTGTCAGGTTCTTAATCTATTATGCCCATTACGGTTCTTGAGCAGTCATGATGAAGGACACCATTCATAGCTTCAGTTACACATATGTGGATAATGCTAGAACCTTCCCTACCTTTAAGACGGATGCGACCACATGAACAGATTCGCTATACGGGTTCAGTTTGACCCCAGAATTTAGTTTTTTCTTTAGGACTCTGCAGGATTTTATATTGACTGATTTGCGGAAGACGCCTTCTGTGAGTGGCCCTTTTTGATTAATAAAGGAAAGCATATCCTGTAGGAAGAAAAGAAAAGTATATGGCATCTCATATCCACAAACGCAGAGCACAAGCTTGCCTCCATTTTGAAAGAGCACGGGAATGTAATGGTACACTGTTTTAGAGTGGGAAGGACCAAAGTCAATTTAGATTGTTTTTTTTTTTTCAGTGTCTTTCTGTATAATTTTGACCCAAATATCCATTTTACAGTCATACACTGAAACATTTTAAACACTTCTTTTATTCAGATTTTCCTTTCCATTGAGTTTCCACTTTTAAATCAAACTTCTCCGCTTCAAGGATTTTGGGGAATCACCATCTGTTTCCTACTTTAGCATTTCTTTCTCATTATTCCCTACATAGATGCTCCTTCCCAAGTATGGAAGTCTATTTAGGAAATACTCATTTCCCATTTGTTTATTTCTCTTTAAGTGACTGTATACTCCTTTCCTACTTGTTCTATTTTCTTCCCTCTTTTAAAGTCAGGCTCAGAAACTCTCTTCTCCTTCTCTGATTACCCTTCCTTCTCATGAGTCTTTCATTGTCTTTTGCTGTATCTTCATGTCCTCTCCCTGCTGTGTAGAAACTTAATAAGGGGTGGACTCAGGGAATCCAACGGATCTGAAGTCTATTATTCTTTTTATCTATTGTGTGAACTGGGGCACATACATCCTGTACTGAGGTTTTTCTGATTCGGTTTGGCAGTGCAGAGGATGATAATCCTAGCTAGCCCCTAAATTTGCTGTGATGCAAGGACCTGGGGTAGTAGCTAGCAGGTAACATCCTAGCTAAGATGATACATTTCTTCATAGCTAGCAGAATGTTCCCTACATCCCGTACAATGCTTGCAGAGACACCGAATACTCAGTGAAGGTCCACACTGACAATTCACTACAGCAGTTTGAGATAACACAGGCCAAACTCTGTGGCTTTCATTTGACATACTCTGTTAGGATTAACAGATTCCTATTTGCCAGAGGATGAGTCTATGCTCGTGTCAGATGTTTGCAGTTGTTAGACTGAGTAGACTCCGCTGAAGGAGACTTGAGACTCATGTGAGTGCAGGAAGGCAATGAAGGGAGAGTGTAAAGATGAGGTGGACTCTCAGAGACTCACATACACAGAGTCCATTTTGACTGATCTGAACAGGCCTCGGTGGGTCTTTGTGGAAACAAGATACAAGTGGAATGGAGAAGAATGTCTTTTCCTGTTGTATTTGCCTCATGACTCTGCTGGACCTAAGTCAGATTCTGTTCCTTGAAATAACAGTAACAGAGCTTCTCAGCCAAAGCCAGGGGCTGTCTAATGACTTCTCCATTTGGGGATAGATTTGGATGAGGACATGTGGCCTCTCAGAGTTTCCTCTCCTCAGGAGGGCTATAGAAGAACAAAAGGAGATGACCTACCAGAATTGGAAAGGGCAGCTTGTCTTTATAACACATATCCATGAGGGAAACTCCAAAGAGCTGTCCTGGCTTTGCGGAAGGTGGGGATGTGCACTGATTGTGCTGGAAAGTTCTGGTGCCCCACCAAAAGGCCCTGGCTCTGAAATAACGGCTTTTCACAGTCTTCTTCCCGTAATCTAAGGAAGAAGTGAGATTAGTAGTAGTAGTTGTTGTTTAATACGCTGAACCTTCTTTTTCCTTTTTTTTTTTTTTTACAGATTTTATTTATATTTTGACAGAGAGAGAGAGACAGCGAGAGAGGGAACACTAGCAGGGGGAGGGGGAGAGGGAGAAGCAGGCTTCCCTCGGAGCAGGGAGCCCGATGCGGGGCTTGATCCCAGGATCCCGGGATCATGACCTGAGCTGAAGCTGGACGCTTAACGACTGAGCAACTCATGTGCCCCAGACTCATCTTAATTCCTGATGACTTGTATTTTTCTAAAGATTTCCTCAAAGCAATGTGGTAAGCATCATAAAACCAAGAAATGTCAGAAATATGGAGGGATTGATGATACGTGTCTCCAGGTTCTGAATCGAAAGTCTACCTTCTAAGGTGGACTGCTGCCAGGTAGCTGTGATTAGCTAGGCTCAAATCATACTACCTCTGGTCTCAGGAGCACTTCTCCTAGGCCTATTAATGGCTTTTTTGGGATTACATCCATCATCTTATTTAGTCTTTACCACAATTCTAAGATTGAGACATCATTTTTATCCACATTTTAGAGATGAATAAACTGATGCTGAGCTGGAATAACTGGCCAAAGATAATATAGCTGGTAAATTAGGGCAGAGGAATTTACACTCTGGAGAGGTAGTTTGACATCAAGTCAAGTCCTTTTTTCTCAATGATGCCAGTTCTTTTGAACCCGTTTCAAAGGGCACTGGAATCCTGTGGTGCCGCAAGAGCCCCTGAGCCAAAAGAGGAGGGAGTGGAAGAAAGGCCCCTTGCTCTGGCTTCAACCCGAGCACATCTTGTATACATAAATATATATATTATTATATATTTATATACTATAAGTATCTAATTATATATTATATATATGTAACTACATATATATGTATGATGTTATACCCATTTGGAATTTTGATAGAAAAAATTCCCAAACACTGTACCATACCATGATGAGTCCTAATGCCCTTATGATCTACACTAGAAACTTCTTGAAGTCAGAGACATCATCTTATTCTTTCTTTGGTCTCACAACAGTGTGGAACTTCCCTTGACCTGTGAGCCAGCCTTCGGAAGAAGGAGCACATGGAAATCCTTGCCCTGGCGATGCTCTGGGCTCCAGAACAGCTCTGTCTAAGCATCTCCCATGACCCCTGGCAACCTTGCTGTCTGTTTCTCACTAAAGCCAATTAAATTACGCCCGGTACCTGCGGCCTTCTCGCTGTTACCATGACTCATTGAGTTCTCACCCAAGAGGGAAGTGATGTCTTCTCCAAATATCCTGAGGCAATTTTCAATGAGAAATTGTACAAGACAAATCTGTAACACAAAAAGACAGGAATGGGGTGCTCTTTTCCATAGGGCATAGTTATAAATCATATTTTGTATACAGACCTTGGATCTAAGAAAAAATGGGAAGGACTTCTCAGAAAAATTCAGAGTTGATAAAAATATGTAGAAACCAGGGGCGCCTGGGTGGCTCAGTCGGTTAAGCATCTGCACTCGGCTCAGGTCGTAATTCCAGGGTGCTGGGATAAGCCATATATCGGGCTCCCTGCACAGTGGGAAGCCTGCTTCTCCCTCTCCCACTCCCCCAGCTTGTGTTTTCTCTCTCGCTGTGTCCCTCTCAGTCAAGTAAATAAAAGCTTAAAAAAAACCCAAAAAAACCCCAAAAACACATAGAAACCAGAGTTCTCTCAGAAGTAACTTAGAAGGAGTGATACTTTCCCGTGTACTTTGGGTATACATTTTAAAATACTGCTCATCCGTGGGCTAAAGTTATAATGCGTGGCCTAGTTTAAGAGCTAACAGTTTGGGATCAGCGGTTACGTCTTTAAGCCTAGGATAAATTTCGGGGCTCCACAGTTGGGCGTCTGACTCTTGGTTTCGGCGCAGATCACGATGTCATCGTGGTGAGATCCAGCCCCACATGGAGCCAACTTTGGGCTCCGTGCTCAGCGGGGAATCGGCTTGGGCTTCTCCCTCTCCCTCTCCCTCTCCCTCTCCCTCTTCTTCTGCCCCTGCCCCGCTCACGCTCTCTCTTTCCCTTTCTCAAATAAATACGTATCAAAAAATAAATAAAACTAGGATAATATTCAAAGTAGCCTACCTTATTAAAGTTTACTTATTTTTTGTTTTTAAATTTTGTTTCCAGTTTTATTGAGTTGTAACTGATGTTTACCATCTTCTGAAACTTAATAAAGTATGAACAAAAACTTAAGAAAACCATTTCTTAAATGAGGAAGCATCTTAAAGTTGGGAAGGAGAGATTTTGGTGGGGTTGTGAGGGAAAACCTACAGAGCTGGAGAGAAAACGTATCTGTCTGTCTAACTTCAGTCCCTTCTCACGCATGGCTTTGCCTCATACTGGCTCTCTCTGGGTGAGCTTGGGGAAGACCTGTTATCTTATTAGGATATTCTGGAATCTCTTGCTACTTTCCGTATGATGTAGCAGAAGTGAAATAGTAGCCGAGTACTTTTCTAGATGAGCCACAATTGGCAGAGGAAGGCCAATGTGTTTGGAGGCATGGGTGCTCATATTGCCCAAGCCACCTAGGATGTGCCAGTGATGACCAGAGGAGCTGCCTGTTGTCGCCATTGTGTAGTGAGGAAACCATGGCTTTGCCCAAAGATATGAGTCCCTCAGGGATTAGGCTGAGAGTTAAACCTTGACTGGTGAAGCTCCAAAGCCCAGGTTCTTTTCTATCGTATCACACGACTCTTCTCTCTCTCATTTAGTCAGTCTAGGTTTCGTCTCCTGGAGCGGGAAGAAGTGACTCGACCGCTCTGAGTTTTCCATTTAACAACACCCCTTCCCAGACCCAACCAGAGTAGGATAAAGAACTCTGCCACTCCACAGGGGCCTAATGAAAATGTGCACTTCACAAAGTTCCATCTGTCAGAGTTACTACTGTACATGTCCGGGTCAAAGTAGGGATTCTACCCCCCAGGGGACAAAAATGAGAGCTCTCATTACCTTTTTTATCAAGTTGTCTTCCAATTCCAAGCTGTCGGAATCAGGTGGGTAAAGAACGCTTGGGGCTATACAAACAGATAAATTATAAGCTGTCATCTGATTGGATGAGGAATGTTGCTCGATGTTGTATAGCACTCCAAAAAGGTATCGCAAGAGAACAACATTTGCTCTTGGCAGCTGGGCTAAAAGCCTAAGGTCAGGAAAACACACTTTTAAATTAGGCAAGTGATTCCACTTAGGAGGTTGGAAAAACAGAGACAGGGAACAGGATACATCCTTGTATATCTAGCACACAACCCGCTGTAGCAGAGTTCCAGGCATGAATGTAGACAAAATTGGTGCACTGAATTCAGTTCCTGAGCCAGATAAACACTTCTCTGGTTAGTTAAATGTCTGACAGACTTTTAAGGTCATAGCCCTGGCAATTGTTGCTCTTGATCTGTCTTAGACCAGGGAATTTTGTCTACTAGTTTCAAGGATCCAGAAGGTGTAAAACGGCCAAGGACTCCACACTAATAAGATCAGGAGAAGAACAATCATAGCCCTAAAGCGTGCCTCTATTCTGAAGCTGGCCCCCATGGGCGTGAAGAATTGAAACTCTTTGGCGTTGGTCATGATTATAGTGTGCAAAGCTGCAAAACGTAAGCCAATGTTTTCCTGATAGTATGTTGGGTGTATTTTGGAGATGTGACCAGAGTAGAGTAATTAGTGCATCGTTACCTCTGGGCTGCAGTTATCATCGCCTCTTTGTTGCCTTCATCAATAACACCGAGCCATTCGTCATAGAGATCAGATAAAAATATACTTCCCGGGATATTTTCAAGAAAGTCCTTAGGGAGATAAAAAAATATGTGTATATATTATAGAAAATATGTATTGGAAATATTCCAGAGAAAATATGTAGTTAAAAAATTCAGTTCAGCCCCCACTTCCTTTACAGATACCCAAACTGCGACCCACACGGAGCTCGGCTCTGACTCTCCATTGACTTGCACACGCAGGAGCAGGTGCTTGGATTTTCTCCCGCTAAAACTTAGAGGCATAAAAGCAGAGCTTAGGCTGTGGTGGAAATGAAGATAAAGCTCCCTTCTATCATCTGGAACTTATTTTTTGTGTGTGCTTTTTTTGCAAAGTACCACAAACTGACAGGGTCTGGCTATAGACCATCCTAAATCCTATTAGCTTCTTGGACAGAAATACACATACCATGTTGCTTGTTTTAGACACAGTGCTAGCTCTTCATTCTAGTAAGAAAAGGGCTGAAACAATCAAAACACAAACAGGTGGGCTCTTGCACACATATTAGGAAAGAACTAGGTCTTCTCACTCGGGGTAGGTGTGCTCCCTGGAAGAAAGCTACTCTCACAATGGCTTCATTCTTCCTTTTCTTAACTGTCTAAAAGTCGAGAGTCTAATGGCAGACTCACTGTGGTCCTGAGGATAGATCCATTTCTAGTATAGGCCAATTGTCCAGTTAGTTTGCCATGATATTATCAAGGCCAAGGTTGCAGAGTCTGATTCTCCACCAAGATCCGTCAACTTCAGGAAGAGAAAACTTTAGAAATGTCTAAGCACTCTCCCCACAAGTGCTCACCCTCTTCCTAGTCGGTGCTTATAACACGGAATCAGGAAAGAACCTCCTAACTCTTGCTAGAAAATCGATTCCATGTTTGCACCTTACAGAGGGCAACACTCATCTTCCTACCTAGTGTATCATCATTCTTCTCCTGTCTCTTGATGCCTTTACGTATATTATTACTGATATCACTATGGCCCCAGTGTAGGAGTGGTTACCTAAGTCATTTCTGGACTTGGCTATTTATCACATCTTCGAACATTAACGGGGGACAAGGGAAGACCAAATGTGACTGAGATTCTAAGACTGTAGTCATTACTACGTTAACATAGGGTTGTTCAGAGCTGTTCATAAGTGCCAAGGTGGATGGATTAAATTCTTTCCCTGTTCTATTTCTTTTGGAAAGTTTGCCTTCATTAGGAGGGTGGTGAGGATGTTTGCATGGGTAAACAGTGTGTACGTATTGGTGCGAATTTTGAAATTTATTATCATGACTAGTAGTCATTTCAGTATTAGTATTTTGCATGGAGTCTTCAGGAGTGAGGGTGGGGAGGGCGGTGTGTAGTGAAAACAGAAAGTATTTCTAACACATGGGGCTTTGAACTCCTAAAGTAGCTTCCTCAAATTTTGATTTTGTCAAGCATTTTTCAGCTTGTCAGGTTCTTAATCTATTATGCCCATCACGGTTCTTGAGCAGTCATGATGAAGGACACCATTCATAGCTTCAGTTACACATATGTGGATAATGCTAGAACCTTCCCTACCTTTAAGACGGATGCGACCACATGAACAGATTCGCTGTACGCGTTCAGTTTGACCCCAGAATTTAGTTTTTTCTTTAGGACTCTGCAGGATTTTATATTGACTGATTTGCTGAAGACGCCTTCTGTGAGTGGCCCTTTTTGATTAATAAAGGAAAGCATATCCTGTAGGAAGAAAAGAAAAGTACATGGCATCTCATATCCACAAACGCAGAGCACAAGCTTGCCTCCATTTTGAAAGAGCACGGGAATGTAATGGTACACTGTTTTAGAGTGGGAAGGGCCAAAGTCAATTTAGATTGTTTTTTTTTTCAGTGTCTTTCTATATAATTTCGACCCAAATATCCATTTTACAGTCATACACTAAAACATTTTAAACACTTCTTTTATTCAGATTTTCCTTTCCATTGAGTTTCCACTTTTAAATCAAACTTCTCCGCTTCAAGGATTTTGGGGAATCACCATCTGTTTCCTACTTTAGCATTTCTTTCTCATTATTCCCTACATAGATGCTCCTTCCCAAGTATGGAAGTCTATTTAGGAAATACTCATTTCCCATTTGTTTATTTCTCTTTAAGTGACTGTATACTCCTTTCCTACTTGTTCTATTTTCTTCCCTCTTTTAAAGTCAGGCTCAGAAACTCTCTTCTCCTTCTCTGATTACCCTTCCTTCTCATGAGTCTTTCATTGTCTTTTGCTGTATCTTCATGTCCTCTCCCTGCTGTGTAGAAACTTAATAAGGGGTGGACTCAGGGAATCCAACGGATCTGAAGTCTATTATGCTATTTATCTATTGTGTGACCTGGGGCACATACATCCTGTACTGATGCTTTTCTGATTCGTTTAGGCAGTGCGAAGGATGATAATCCTAGCTAGCCCCTAAATTTGCTGTGATGCAAGGACCTGGGGTAGTAGCTAGCAGGTAACATCCTAGCTAGGATGATACATTTCTTCATACCTAGCAGAACGTTCCCTACATCGCGTACAATGCTTGCAGAGACACTGAATACTCAGTGAAGGTCCACACTGACAATTCACTACAGCAGTTTGAGATAACACAGGCCAAACTCTGTGGCTTTCATTTGACATACTCTGTTAGGATTAACAGATTCCTATTTGCCAGAGGATGAGTCTATGCTCGTGTCAGATGTTTGCAGTTGTTAGACTGCGTAGACTCTGCTGAAGGAGACTTGAGACTCATGTGAGTGCAGGAAGGCAATGAAGGGGGAGTGTGAAGATGAGGTGGACTCTCAGAGACTCACAGACAGAGTCCATTTTGACTGATCTGAACAGGCCTCGGTGGGTCTTTGTGGAAACAAGATACAAGTGGAATGGAGAAGAATGTCTTTTCCTGTTCTATTTGCCTCATGACTCTGCTGGACCTAAGTCAGATTCTGTTCCTTGAAATAACAGTAACAGAGCTTCTCAGCCAAAGCCAGGGGCTGTCTAATGACTTCTCCATTTGGGGATAGATTTGGATGAGGACACGTGGCCTCTCAGAGTTTCCCCTCCTCAGGAGGGCTATAGAAGACCAAAAGGAGATGACCTACCAGAATTGGAAAGGGCAGCTTGTCTTTATAACACATATCCATGAGGGAAACTCCAAAGAGCTGTCCTGGCTTTGCGGAAGGTGGGGATGTGCACTGGTTGTGCTGGAAAGTTCTGGTGCCCCACCAAAAGGCCCTGGCTCTGAAATAACGGCTTTTCACAGTCTTCTTCCCGTAATCTAAGGAAGAAGTGAGATTAGTAGTAGTAGTTGTTGTTTAATACGCTGAACCTTCTTTTTCCTTTTTTTTTTTTTTACAGATTTTATTTATATTTTGACAGAGAGAGAGACAGCGAGAGAGGGAACACAAGCAGGGGGAGGGGGAGAGGGAGAAGCAGGCTTCCCTCGGAGCAGGGACACCGATGCGGGGCTCGATCCCAGGACCCCGGGATCATGACCTGAGCTGAAGGCAGACGCTTAACGACTGAGCCACCCAGGCGCCCCGGACTCATCTTAATTCCTGATGACTTGTATTTTCCAAAAGATTTCCTCAAAGTAATGTGGTAAGCATCATAAAACCAAGAAATGTCAGAAATATGGAGGGATTGATGATACGTGTCTCCAGGTTCTGAATCGAAAGTCTACCTTTTAAGGTGGACTGCTGCCAGGTAGCTGTGATTAGCTAGGCTCAAATCGTACTAGCTCTAGTCTCAGGGGCACTTCTCCTAGTCCTATTAATGGCTTTTTTTGGATTCCATCCATCATCTTATTTATTCTACACAACAATTCTAAGATTTAGACATTATTTTTATCCACATTTTAGAGATGAATAAACTGATGCTGAGCTAGAAAAACTGATCAAAGGTAATATAGCTGGTAAATGGGGGCACAGGACGTTACACTCTGGAGAGGTTTTTTGACATCAAGTCAAGTCCTTTTTTCTCAATGATGCCAGTTCTTTCAACCCGTTTCAAAGGGCACTGGAATCCTGTGGTGCCTCAAGAGCCCCTGAGCCAAAAGAGGAGGGAGGGGAAGAAAGCCCCCTTACTCTGGCTTCAGCCAAGGCACATCTAATACACATAAATATATATATTATGATTATATTTATATAGTATAAGTATCTAATTATATATTATATATATATATATATAACTACATATATATGTGTGATGTTCTATATATAGATAGATATATAGCACCCATTTAGAATTTTGTTAGAAAAAATTCCCAAACACTGTAGCATACCATGATGAGTCCTAATGCCCTTATGATCTACACTAGAAACTTCTTGAAGTCAGAGACCGCATTTTATCCTTTCTTTGGTCTCACAACAGTGTGGAACCTCCCTTGACCTGTGAGCCAGCCTTCGGAAGAAGGAGCCCATGGAAATCCTTGCCCTGGTAATGCTCTGGGCTCCAGAACAGCTCTCCCATGACCCCGGGCAACCTTGCTGTCTGCTTCTCACTAAAGCCAATTAAATTACTCCCGGTACCTGCAGCCTTCTCGCTCTTACCATGACTCATTGAGTTCTCTCCCAAGAGGGAAGTGATGACTTCTCCAAATATCCTGAGGCAATTTTGAATGAGAAACTGTACAAGACAAATCTGTAACACAAAAAGACAAGAATGGGGTGCTCTTTTCCATAGGGCATAGTTATAAATCACATTTTGTATACAGACCTTGGCTGTAAGAAAAAATGTGAAGGACTTCTCAGAAAAATTCAGAGTTGATAAAAATATGTAGAAACCAGGGGCGCCTGGGTGGCTTAGTCGGCTAAGCGTCTGCGTTCGACTCAGGTCATAATCCCAGGGTGCTGGGATCAGCCCTACATCGCGCTCCCTGCTCAGCGGGAAGCCTGCTTCTCCCTCTCCCACTCACACGGCTTGTGTTCCCTCTCTCGCTGTGTCTCTCTCAGTCACGTAAATAAATACAAGTTTAAAAAAAAAAAAAAAACACAGAGAAACCAGAGTTCTCTCAGAAATAACTTAGGAAGAGTGATACTTTCCCGTGTACTTTGGGTACACATTTTAAAATACTGCTCATCCGTGGGCTAAAGTTATACTGAGTGTCCTCGTTTAAGAGCTAACATTTTAGGATCAGTGGTTACGTCTTTAAGCCTAGGGTAAATTTCGGGGCCCCTCAGTTGGCCGTCTGACTCTTGATTTCGGCGCAGATCACGACCTCATGGTGGTGAGATCCAGCCCCACATGGAGCCAACTTTGGGCTCCGTGCTCAGCGGGGAATCGGCTTGGGCTTCTCCCTCTCCCTCTCCCTCTTCTTCTGCCCCTGCAATGCTCACGCTCTATCTTTCCCTCTCTCAAATAAATACATATCAAAAAATAAATAAAACAAAGATAATTTTCAAAGTAACCTACCTTATTAAAGTTTACTTATTTTTTGCTTTTAAATTTTGTGTCCAGTTTTATTGAGCTGTAACTGATGTATACCATCTTATGAAACTTTAAAAGTATGAACAAAAACTTAAGAAAACCATTTCTAAATGAAGAAGTATCTTAAAGTTGGGAAGCAGGGATTTTGGTGGGGTTGTGAGGGAAAACCCACACAGCTGGAGAGAAAACGTATCTGTCTGTCTATCTTCAGTCCCTTCCCACGCATTGCTTTGCCTCATACTGGCTCTCTCTGGGTGAGCTTGGGGAAGACCTGTCATCTTATTAGGATATTCTGGAATCTCTTGCTACTTTCCATACGACGTAGCAGAGGTGAAATAGTAGCCGAGTACTTTTCTAGATGAGCCACAATTGGCAGAGGACGGCCAATGTGTTTGGAGCCATGGGGGCTCATATTGCCCAAGCCACCCAGGATGTGCCAGTGATGACCAGAGGAGCTGGCTGTTGTCGCCATTGTGTAGTGAGGAAACCATGGCTTTGCCCAAGGTTACGAGTCCCTCAGGGATTAGGCTGAGAGTTGAACCTTGACTAGTGAAGCTCCAACGCCCAGGTTCTTTTCTATCGTATCACACGACTCCTCTCTCTCTCGTTTAGTCAGTCTAGTGTTTAGTCTCCTGGAGGGGGAAGAAGTGACTCGACTGCTCCGAGTTTCCCATTTAACGACACCCCTTCCCTGACTCCGCCAGAGTAGGATAAAGAACTCTGCCACTCCATAGGGCCCTAATGAAAATGTGCACTTCACAAAGTTCCATCCGTCAGAGTTACTACTGCACATGTCCGGTTCAAAGTAGGGATTCTACCCCCTGGGGAACAAAAATGAGAGCTCTCATCACCTTTTTTATCAAGTTGTCTTCCAATTCCAAGCTGCCGGAATCAGGTGGGTAAAGAACGCTTGGGGCTGTACAAACGGTTACATTATAAGCTGTCATCTGATTGGATGAGGAATGTTGCTCAATGTTGTATAGCACTCCAAAAAGGTATCGCGAGAGAACAACATTTGCTCTTGGCAGCTGGGCTAAAAGCCTATGGTCAGAAAAACACACTTTTAAATTAGGCAAGTGATTCCACTTAGGAGGTTGGAAAAACAGACAGGGAAAAGGATACATCCTTGTATATCTAGCACACAACCCGCTCTAGCAGAGTTCGAGGCATGAATGTAGACAAAATTCTTGCACTGAATTCAGTTCCTGAGCCAGAAAAACACTTCTCTGGTTAGTTAAACGTTTGTCAGACTTTTAAGGTCATAGCCCTGGCAGTTGATGCTCTTGCATGTGTCTTGAACCAGGGAATTTCGTCTACAAGTTGCATGGATCCAGAGGTGTCAAACGGCCAAGGAGTCCACAATAAGATCAGGAGAAGAACAATAATAGCCCTAAAGCGTGCCTCTATTCTTAAGCTGGGCCACATGGGTGTGAAGAATTGAAATTCTTTGGCGTTGGTCATGATTATAGTGGGCAAAGCTGCAAAACGTAAGCCAATGTTTTCCTAATGGTATGTTGGCTTTATTTTGGAGATGTGACCAGAGTAGAGTAATTATTGCATCATTACCTCTGGGCTGCAGTTATATTCTCCTCTTTGTTGCCTTGATCAATAACACCGAGCCATTTGTCATAGAGGTCAGATAAAAATATACTTCCTTGGATATTTCTACGAAAATCCTTAGGGATATAAAAGAAAAAAAAAAAAAAATATATATATATATACTATAGAAAATATGTATTGGAAATATTCCAGAGAAAATATGTAGTTAAAAAATTCAGTTCAGCCCCCACTTCCTTCACAGATACCCAAACTGGGACCCACACACAGCTCGGCTCTGACTTTCAATTGACTTGCACACGCAGGAGCAGGTGCTTGGATTTTCTCCCGCTAAAAGTTAGAGGCATAAAAGCAGAGCGTAGGCTGTGGTGGAAACGAAGATAAAGCTCCCTTCTATCATCTGGAACTTAGTTTTTGTGTGTGGTTTTTTTTTTGCAAAGAACCACAAACTGACAGGGTCTGGCTATAGACCATCCTAAATTCGATTAGCTTCCTGGACAGAAATACACATACCCATGTTGCTTGTTTTAGACACAGTGCTAGCTCTTCATTCTAGCAAGAAAAGGCCTGAAGCAATCAAAACACAAACAGGTGGGCTCTTGCACACATATTAGGAAAGAACTAGGTCTTCTCACTCGGGGTAGGTGTGCTCCCTGGAAGAAAGCTACTCTCACAATGGCTTCATTCTTCCTTTTCTTAACTGTCTAAAAGTCGAGAGTCTAATGGCAGACTCACTGTGGTCCTGAGGATAGATCCATTTCTAGTTTAGGCCAATTGTCCAGTTAGTTTGCCATGATATTATCAAGGCCAAGGTTGCAGAGTCTGATTCTCCACCAAGATCCGTCAACTTCAGGAAGAGAAAACTTTAGAAATGTCTAAGCACTCTCCCCCAAGTGCTCACCCTCTTCCTAGTCGGTGCTTATAACACGGAATCAGGAAAGAACCTCCTAACTCTTGCTAGAAAATCGATTCCATGTGTGCACCTTACAGAGGGCAACACTCATCTTGCTACCTAGTGTATCATCATTCTTCTCCTGTCTCCTGATGCCTATATGTATATTACTACTGGATATCACTATGGCCCCAGTGTAGGAGTGGTTACTTACCTAAGTCATTTCTGGACCTTGCTATTGATCACATCTTCGAACATTAATGGGGTACAAGGGAAGACCAAATGTGACTGAGATTCTATGACTGTAGTCATTACTACGTTAACATAGGGTTTTTCAGAGCTGTTCATAAGTGCCAAGGTTCATGGATTAAATTCTTTCCCTGTTCTATTTCTTTTGGAAAGTTTGCCTTCATTAGGAGGGTGGTGAGGATGTTTTCATGGGTAAACTGTGTGTATGTATCGGTGCGTATTTTGAAATTTATTATCATGACTAGAAGTCATTTCAGTATTAGTATTTTGCATGGACTCTTCAGGAGTGAAGGTGGGGAGGGCGGTGCGTAGTGAAAACAGAAAGTATTTCTAACACATGGGGCTTTTAACTCCTAAAGTAGCTTCCTTAAATTTTGATTTTGTCAAGCATTTTACAGCTTGTCAGGTTCTTAATCTATTATGCCTTTTATGGTTCTTGAGCAGTCATGATGAAGGACACCAATCATCGCTTCAGTTACTCACGTGTGGATAATGCTAGAACCTTCCGTACCTTTAAGACGGATGCAACCACATGAACAGATTCGCTGTACGGGTTCACTTTGACCCCAGAATTTAGTTTCTCCTTTAGGACATGGCAGGATTTTATATTGGCTGAGTTTCTGAAGACGCCGTCTGTGAGTGGCTCTTTTTGATTAATAAAGGAAAGCATACCCTGTAGGAAGAAAAGAAAAGTATTTGGGATCTCATATCCACAAACGCAGAGCACAAGCTTGCCCGTTTTGAAAGAGGAGGGGAATGTAATGGTACACTGTTTTAGAGTGGGAAGGACTAAAGTCAATTTAGATTGTTGTTTTTCCAGTGTCTCTCTATATACTTTCTACCCATATATCCATTTTACAGTCATACATTGAAACATTTTAAACACTTCTTTTAATCAGATTTTCCTTTCCATTGAGTTTCCACTTTTAAATCAAACTTCTCTGCTTCAAGGCCTTTGCGGAATCACCGTCTGTTTCCTACTTTACCATTCTTTTCTCATTATTCCCTTACGTAGATGCTCTTCCGCAAGTATGGAAGTCTATTTAGGACATACTCTTTTCCCTTTTTTTATTTCTCTTTAAGTGACTGTATACTCCATTCGTACTTGTTCTATTTCGTTCCCTCTTTTAAAGTCAGGCTAAAAAATTCTCTTGTCCTTCTCTGATTACCCTGCCTTCTCATGAGTCTTTCATTGTCTTTTGCTCTATCTTCGTGTCCTCTCCCTGCTGTGTAGAATCTTAATAAGGGCTGGACTCAGGGAATCCAACGGATCTGAAATCTATTATGCTACTTATCTATTGTGTGAGCTGGGGCACATACATCCTGTACTGAGGCTTTTCTGATTCGGTTAGGCAGTGCGGAGGATGATAATCCTAGCTAGCCCCTAAATTTGCTGTGATGCAAGGAACTGGGGTAGTAGCTAGCAGGTAACAAAGTAGCTAATATGATACATTTCTTCATAGCTAGCAAAACGTTCCCTACATACCTACAGTGCTTGCAGAGACACCAAATACTCAGTGAATGTCCACACTGACAATTCATTACAGCAGTTTGAGATAACACAGGCCAAACTCTGTGGCTTTCATTGGACATATTCTGTTAGCATAAACAGATTCCTATTTGCCAGAGGATGAGTCTATGCTCGTGTCAGATGTTTGCAGTTGTTAGACTGAGTAGACTCCGCTGAAGGAGACTTGAGACTCATGTGAGTGCAGGAAGGCAATGAAGGGAGAGTGTGAAGATGAGGTGGACTCTCAGAGACTCACATACACAGAGTCCATTTTGACTGATCTGAACAAGCCTCCGCATGTCTTTGTGGAAACAAGACCCACGTGGAATGGAGAAGAATGTCTTTTCCTGTTGTATTTGCCTCATGACTCTGCAGGACCTAAGTCAGATTCTGTTCCTTGAAATAACAGTAATAGAGCTTCTGAGCCAAAGCCAGGGGCTGTTTCATGACTTCTCCATTTGGGGATAGATTTGGATGAGGACACGTGGCCTCTCAGAGTTTCCCCACCTCAGAAGAGCTATAGAAGACCAAAATGAGATGACCTACCAGAATTGGGAAGGCCAGGTTGTCTTTATAACACACAACCATGAGGGAAACTCCAAAGAGCTGTCCTGGCTTTGCAGAATGTGGGGTTGTGCACTGGTTCTGCTGGCAAGTGCTGGAGCCCCACCAAAAGGCCCTGTCTCTGAAAGAACGGCTTGTCACAGTTTTCTTGCCGGAGTCTAAGGAAGAAGAGAGAGTACTAGTAGTAGTAGTTTTTTAATACGCTGAAACTTCTTCCTTTTTTTTTTTTTTTTTTTACAGATTTTATTTATATTTTGACAGAGGGAGAGAGACAGCGAGAGAGGGAACAGAAGCAGGGGGACGGGGAGAGGGAGAAGCAGGCTTCCCTCAGAGCAGGGAGCCCGATGCGGGGCTCGATCCCAGGACCCCGGGATCATGACCTGAGCTGAAGGCAGTTGCTTAACGACTGAGCCACCCAGGTGCCCCAGACTCATCTTAATTCCTGATGACTTGTATTTTCCTAAAGATTTCCTCAAAGCAATGTGGTAAGCATCATAAAACCAAGAAATGTCAGAAATATGGAGGGATTGATGATACGTGTCTCCAGGTTCTGAATCGAAAGTCTACCTTCCAAGGTGGACTGCTGACAGCTGTTATTAGCTAGGCTCAAAACATACTAGCTCTAGTCTCAGGGGCACTTCTCCTAGTCTTATTAATGGCTTTTTTGGGATTACATCCATCATCTTATTTATTCTACACAACAATTCTAAGATTTAGACATTATTTTTATCCATATTTAGAGATGAATTAACTGATGCTGAGCTGGTATAACTGGCCAAAGATAATATAGCTGGTAAATGCGGGCACAGGAATTTACACTCTGGAGAGGTAGTTTGACATCAAGTCAAGTCCTTTTTTCTCAATGATGACAGTTCTTTTCAACCCATTTCAAAGGGCACTGGAATCCTGTGGTGCCTCAAGAGCCCCTGAGCCAAAAGAGGACGGAGGGGAAGAAAGGCCCCTTCTCTGGCTTCAACCAGAGTACTTCTAATATACATAAATATATATATTATGATAATATATTTATATACTATAAGTATATAATTATATATTATATATAACTACATACACATGTATGATGTGTTTTACATATATATATACATATATATACAAATATATACATACATATACATACATCCTGTACTGAGCCTTTTCTGATTCATTATTACATATATACATATATATATAAATATATATGTATGTATATGTATAGCACCCTTTTAGAATTTTGTTAGAAAAAAATCCCAAACACTGTAGCATACCATGATGAGTCCTAATGCCTTTATGATCTACACTAGAAACTTGTTGAAGTCAGAGACCTCATCTTATCCTTTCTTTGGTCTCACAACAGTGTGGAACCTCCCTTGACCTGTTGAGCCAGCCTTTGGAAGAAGGAGCACATGGAAATCATTGCCCTGGCGATGCGCTGGGCTCCAGAACAGCACTGTCTATGCATCTCCCATGACCCTTGGCAGCCTTGCTGTCTGCTTCTCACTAAAGCCAATTAAATTACTCCCGGTACCTGCAGCCTTCTCGCTGTTACCACGACTCATTGAGTTCTCTCCCAAGAGGGAAGTGATGTCTTCTCCAAATATCCTGAGGCAATTTTCAAGGAGAAATTGTACAAGAGAAATCTGTAACACAAAAAGACAAAAATGAGGTGTTCTTTTCCATAGGCCATAGTTTTAAACACATTTTGTATATAGACCTTGGATCTAAGGAAAAACGGGAAGGACTTGTCAGAAAAATTCAGAGTTGATAAAAATACGTAGAAACCAGGGGCACCTGGGTGGCTCAGTCAGTTACGCATCTCCCTTCGGCTCAGGTCAAGATCCCAGGGTGCTGGGATCAACCCTATATCTGGCTCCCTGCTCAGCGGGAAGCCTGCTTCTTCCTCTCCCACTCTCCCTCCTTGTGTTCCCTCTCTGTCAAGTAAATAAATCAAATCTTAAAAAAAAAAAACCAAAAACATAGAGACCAGAGTTCTCTAGGAAATAACTTAGAATGACTGATGCTTTCCCGTGTACTTTGGGTACACATTTTGAAATACTGCTCATCCGTGGGCTAAAGTTATAATGCGTGGCCTAGTTTCATAGCTAACATTTTGGGATCAGTGGTTACATCTTTAAGCCTAGGATAAATTTCGGGGCCCCTCAGTTGAGCGTCGGACTCTTGATTTCGGCGCAGATCACAATCTCATGGTGGTGAGATCCAGCCCCACATGGAGCCAACTTTCGGCTCTGGGCTCAGCAGGGAATCGGCTTGGTCTTCTCCCTCTCCCTCTTCTTCTGCCCCTGCCCCACTCACGCTCTCTTTCCCTCTCTCAAAGAAATACATATCCAAAAATAAATAAAACTAGGATAATATTCAAAGTAGCCTACCTTATTAAAGTTTACCTGTTTTTTGTTTTTAAATTTTGTTTCCAGTTTTATTGAGCTGTAACTGATGTATAACATCTTATGAAACTTTATAAAGTATGAACAAAAACTTAAGAAAACCATTTCTTAAATGAAGAAGTATCTTAAAGTTGAGAAGCAGAGATTTTGGTGGGGTTGTGAGGGAAAACCCACACAGCTGGAGAGAAAATGTATCTGTCTGTCTAACTTCAGTCCCTTCTCACACATTGGTTTGCCTCATGCTGGCTCTCTCTGTGTGAGCTTGGGGAAGACCTGTCATCTTCTTAGGATGGTGTGGAATCTTTTGCTAGTTTCCATAAGATGTAGCAGAGGTGAAATAGTAGCCAAGTACTTTTCTAGAGAGCCACTATTGGCAGAGGAAGGCCAATGTGTTTGGAGCCATGGGGGCTCATATTGCCCAAGCCACCCAGGATATGCCTGTCATGACCAGAGGAGCTGGCTGTTGTCGCCATTGTGTAGTGAGGAAACCATGGCTTTGCCCAAGGTTACGAGTCCCTCAGGGATTAGGCTGAGAGTTGAACCTTGACTAGTGAAGCTCCAAAGCCCACGTTCCTTTCTATCGTATCACACGACTCTTCTCTCTCTCGTTTAGTCAGTCTAGTGTTTAGTCTCCTGGAGGGGGAAGAAGTGACTCGACTGCTCCGAGTTTCCCGTTTAACGACACCCCTTCCCAGACCCCACCAGAGTAGGATAAAGAACTCTGCCACTCCACAGGGGCGTAATGAAAATGTGCACTTCACAAAGTTCCATCCGTCAGAGTTACTACTGCACATGTCCGGTTCAAAGTAGGGATTCTACCCCCTGGGGGACAAAAATGAGAGCTCTCATTACCTGTTTTATCAAGTTGTCTTCCAATTCTAAGGTGCCAGAATCAGGTGCGTAAAGAACGCTTAGGGTTATAAACACTGATAAATTATAAGCTGTCATCTGAGTGGATGAGGGAGGTTGCTCAATGTTGTATAACACTCCAAAAAGGTATCGCAAGAGAACAACATTTCCTCTTGGCAGCTGGGGTAAAAGCCTAAGGTTAGAAAAATACTCATTTAAATTAGGCAAGTGATTCCACTTAGGAGGTTGGAAAAACAGAGACAGGGAACAGGATACATCCTTGTATATCTAGCACACAACCCGGTGTAGCAGAGTTCCAGGCATGAATGTATGCAAAATTGTTGCACTGAATTCAGTTCATGAGCCAGATAAAAACTTCTCTGGTTAGTTAAATGTTTGACAGACCTTTAAGGTCATAGCCCTGGCAACTGATGTTCTTGCATCTGTCTTGGACCAGGGGATTTCCTCTAACAGTTTCATGTACCCATAAGATGTAAAACGGCCAAGGATTCCAAATTAATAAGATCAGAAGAAGAATGATAAAAGCCCTAAAGTGTGCCTCTATTATGAACCTGGCCCCCATGGGTGTGAAGAATTGAAACTCTTTGGCATTGGTCATGATTATAGTGGGCAAAGCTGCAAAACGTAAGCCAATGTTTTCCTGATAGTATGTTGGCTGTATTTTGGAGATGTGACCAGAGTAGAGTAATTATTGCATCATTACCTCTGGGCTGCAGTTATCTTCTCCTCTTCGTTGCCTTGATCAATAACACCGAGCCATTTGTCATAGAGATCAGATAAAAATATACTTCCATGGATATTTCTAAGAAAATCCTTAGGGAGATAAAAAAAACTATGTATATATATTATAGAAAATATGTATTGGAAATATTCCAGAGAAAATATGTAGTTAAAAAATTCAGTTCAGCCCCCACTTCCTTCACAGATATCCAAATTGTGACCCACACGGTGCTCGGCTCTGACTCTCCATTGACTTGCACATGCAGCAGCAGATGCTTGGATTTTCTCCCACTAAAACTTAGAGGCATAAAAGCAGAGCTTAGCCTGTGGTGGAAATGAAGATAAAGCTCCCTTCTATCATCTGGAACTTATTTTTTGTGTGTGCTTTTTTTGCAAAGTACCACAAACTGACAGGGTCTGGCTATAGACCATCCTAAATCCTATTAGCTTCTTGGCCAGAAATACACATACCCATGTTGCTTGGTTTAGACACAGTGCTAGCTCTTAATTCTAGCAAGAAAAGCCCTGAAACAATCAAAACACAAACAGGTGGGCTCTTGCACACACATTAGGCAAGAGGTAGGTCTTCTCATTCGGGGTATGTGTGTTCCCTGGAAGAAAGCTACTCTCACAATTGCTTCATTCTTCCTTTTCTTAACTGTCTAAAAGTCGAGAGTCTAATGGCAGACTCACTGTGGTCCTGAGGATAGATTCATTTCTAGTTTAGGACAATTGTCCAGTTAGTTTGCCATGATATTATCAAGGCCAAGGTTGCAGAGTCTGATTCTCCACCAAGATCTGTCAACTTCAGGAAGAGAAAACTTTAGAAATGTCTAAGCACTATACCCACAAGTGCTCACGCTCCTCCTAGTCAGTGCTTATAACACAGAAACAGGAAAGAACCTACCAACTCTTGCTAGAAAATAGATTCCATGTGTGCACCTTACAGAGCGCAACACTCATCTTGCTACCTAGTGTATTCTCATTCCTCTCCTGTCTCCTGATGCCTATATGTATATTACTACTGGATATCACTATGGCCCCAGTGTAGGAGTGGTTACCGAAGTCATTTCTGGACTTTGCTATTTATCACATCTTCGAACATTAATGGGGGACAAGGGAAGACCAAATGTGATTGAGATTCTAAGACTGTAGTCAGTACTACATTAACATAGGGTTGTTCAAAGCTGTTCATAAGTGCAAAGGTGCATGGATTAAATTCTTTCCCTGTTCTATTTCTTTTGGAAAGTTTGCCTTCATTAGGAGGGTGGTCAGGATGTCTGCTTTGGTAAACAGTGTGTTTGTGTCAGTGCGTATTTTGAAATTTATTATCATGACTGTAGTCATTTCAGTATTAGCATTTTGCATGGAGTCTTCAGGAGTGAAGGTGCGGATGGCTGTGTGTGGTGAAAACAGAAAGTATTTGTAACACATGGGGCTTTTAACTCCTAAAGTTGCTTCCTTAAATTTTGATTTTGTCAAGCGTTTTTCAGCTTGTCACGTTATTAATCTACTATGCCCGTTATGGTTCTTGAGCAGTCATGATGAAGGACACCAATCATCGCTTCAGTTACTCACGTGTGGATAATGCTAGAACCTTCCCTACCTTTAAGACGGATGCGAACACATGAATAGATTCCCTGTACGGGTTCACTTTGACCCCAGAATTTTGTTTCTCCGTTAGGACTCTGCGGGATTTTATATTGGCTGAGTTTCTGAAGACGCCTTCTGTGAGTGGCCCTTTCTGATTAATAAAGGAAAGCATACCCTGTAGGAAGAAAAGAAAAGTATATGGCATCTCATATCCACAAACGCAGAGCACAATCTTGCCTCCGTTTTGAAAGAAAAGGGGAATGTAATGGTACAATGTTTTAGAGCGGGAAGGACTAAAGTCAATTTAGATTGCTGTTTTTTCAGTGTCTCTCTATATATACTTTCTACCCATATATCCATTTTACAGTCATACACTGAAACATTTTAAACACTTCTTTTAATCAGATTTTCCACTAAGTTTACACTTTTAAATCAAACTTCTCTGCCTCAAGGCCTTTGCGGAATAACCGTCTGTTTCCTACTTTCCCATTCTTTTCACATTTGTCCCTTACATACATGCTCTTCCGCAAGTATGGAAGTCTAGTTAGGAAATACTCATTTCCCATTTGTTTATTTCTCTTTAAGTGACTGTATACTCCATTCCTACTTGTTCTATTTCCTTCCCTCTTTTAAAGTCAGGCTCAGGAACTCTCTTCTCCTTCTCTGATTACCCTCCCTTCTCATGAGTCTTTCATTGTCTTTTGCTGTATCTTCATGTCCTCTCCCTGCTGTGTAGAAATTTAATAAGGGCTGGACTCAGGGAATCCAACGGATCTGAAGTCTATTATGCTACTTAACTATTGTGTGCGTTGGGGCACATACATCCTGTACTGAGGCTTTTCTGATTCGTTTAGGCAGTGCGGAGGATGATAATCCTAGCTAGCCCCTAAATTTGCTGTGATGCAAGGAACTGGGGTAAGTAGCTAGCAGGTAACATGCTAGCTAAGATGATGCATTTCTTCATAGCTAGCAGAACGTTCCCTACATCCCGTACAGTGCATGCAGAGACACCGAATACTCAGTGAAGGTCCACACTGACAATTCACTACAGCAGTTTGAGATAACACAGGCCAAACTCTGTGGCTTTCGTTTGACATATTCTCCTAGGATTAACACATTCCTATTTGCCAGAGGATGAGTCTATGCTCGTGTCAGATGTCTGCAGTTGTTAGACTGAGTAGACTCCGCTGAAGGAGACTTGAGACTCATGTGAGTTCAGCAAGGCAATGAAGGGAGAGTGTGAAGATGAGGTGGAGTCTCCGAGACTCACATACACAGAGTCCATTTTGACTGATCTGAACAAGCCTCCGCATGTCTTTGTGGAAACAAGACCCAAGTGGAATGGAGAAGAATGTCTTTTCCTGTTGCATTTGCCTCATGACTCTGCAGGACCTAAATCAGATTCTATTCTTTGAAATAACAGTTATAGAGCTTCTCAGCCAAAGCCAGGGGCTGTCTAATGACTTCTTCATTTTTGGGATAGATTTGGATGAGGACGCTTGGCCTCTCAGAGTTTCCCCTTCTCAGGAGGGCTCTAGAAGACCAAAAGGAGTTGACCTACCAGAATTGGGAAGGACAAGTTGTCTTTATCACACACATCCATGAGGGAAACTCCAAAGAGCTGTCCTGGCTTTGCGGAAGGTGGGGCTGTGCACTGGTTGTGCTGGGAAGTGCTGGAACCCCGACAAAACACCCTGTCTCTGAAAGAACGGGTTTTCACAGTCTTCAGGCTGGAGTCTAAGGAAGAAGTGAGAGTACTCGTAGTAGTAGTTGTTGTTTAATATGTTGAACCTTCTTTTTCCTTTTTTTTTTTTTTTACAGATTTTATTTATTTTTTGACAGAGAGAGAGAGACAGCAAGAGAGGGAACACAAGTAAGGGGAGGGGGAGAGGGAGAAGCAGGCTTCCCTTGGAGCAGGGAGCCTGATGCGGGGCTCGGTACCAGGACCCCAGGATCATGACCTGAGCTGAAGGCAGATGTTTAACGACTGAGCCACCCAGGTGCCCCAGACTCATCTTAATTCCTGATGACTTGTATTTTCCTAAAACTTTCCTCAAAGCATGTGGTACGTGTCATGAAAAGAAGAAATGTCAAAAATATGGAGGGATTGATGATACGTGTCTCCAGGTTCTGAATCGAAAGTCTACCTTCTAAGGTGGACTGCTGCCAGTTAGGTCTGATTAGCTAGGCTCAAATCATACTACATCTAGACTCAGGGGCACTTCTCCTAGTGCTATTAATGGCTTTTTTTGGATTACATCCATCATCTTATTTATTCTACACAACAATTCTAAAATTTAGACATTATTTTTATCCACATTTTAGAGATGAATAAACTGATGCTGAGCTGGTATAACTGGCCAAAGATAATATAGCTGGTAAGTGGGGGTACAGGAATTTACACTCTGGAGAGGTTGTTTGACATCAAGTCAAGTCCTTTTTTCTCAAAGATGCCAATTCTTTTCAACCCGCTTCAAAGGGCACTGGAATCCTGTGGTGCCTCAAGAGACCCTGAGCCAAAAGAGGAGGGAGGGGAAGAAAAGCCCCTTTCTCTGGCTTCAACCAGCGCTCATGTAATATACATAAATATATACATTATGTTTATATATTTATATAGTATCAGTATATAATTATGTAATATATATAACTACATAGATATATATATAGCACCCATTTAAATTTTGTGAGAAAAAGTTCCCAAACACTGTGGCATACCATGATGAGTCCTAATTCCGTTATGATCTACACTAGAAACCTTCTTGAAGTCAGAGACCTCATCTTATCCTTTCTTTGGTCTCACAACAGTGTGGAACCTCCCTTGACCTGTGAGCCAGCCTTCGGGAGAAGGAGCACATGGAAATCCTTGCCCTGGCGATGCTCTGGGCTCCAGAACAGCTCTGTCTAAGCATCTCCCATGACCCCTGGCAGCCTTGCTGTCTGCTTCTCACTAAAGCCAAATAAATTATTCCCGGTACCTGCAGCCTGCTCGCTGTTACCACGACTCATTGAGTTCTCTCCCAAGAGGGAAGTGATGTCTTCTCCAAATATTTTAAGGCAATTTTCAATGAGAAATTGTACAAGAGAAATCTGTAACACAAAAAGACAAAAATGGGGTGCTCTTTTCCATAGGGCATAGTTATAAATCACATTATGTCTATAGACCTTGGATCTAAGAAAGAATGTGAAAGATTTCCCAGAAAAATTCACAATTGACAAAAATACATAGAGACCAGGAGCGCCTGGGTGGCTCAATCGGTCAGGCGTCTGCATTCAGCCCAGCTCATGATCCCAGGGTGCTGCGATCAGCCCTACATCGGGCTCCCTGCTCAGCGGGAAGCCTGATTCTCCCTCTCTCACTCCCCCTGCTTGTGTTCCCTCTCTCGCTGTGTCTGCCTCTGTCAAGAAAATAAATATAATCTTAAAAAAAATAATAAAAGAAAAAACAGAGACCAGAATTCTCTAAGAAATAACTTAGGAAGAGTGATACTTTTCCGTGTACTTTGGGTACACATTTTAAAATACTGCTAATCAGTAGGCTAAAGTTTTAATATGTGGCCTAGTTTAATAGGTAACATTTTGGTATCAGTGGTTACATCATTAAGCCTAGGATAATTTTTGGGGCCCCTCTGTTGAGCATCTGACTCTTGATTTTGGCTCAGATCACTATCTCATGATGGTGAGATCCAGCCCCACATGGAGCCAACTTTGGGCTCTGTGCTCAGCGGGGAATCAGCTTGGGCTTCTCCCTCTCCCTCTCCCTCTTCTTCTGCCCCAGCCCCGCTCACGCTCTCTCTTTCCCTCAAATAAATACATATCAAAAAATAAATAAAACTAGGATAATTTTCAAAGTAGCCTACCTTATTAAAGTTTACTTATTTTTTGTTTTTAAATTTTTTTTCCAGTTTTATTGAGCTGTAACTGATGTATACCATCTTATGAAACTTTATAAAGTATGAACAAAAACTTAAGAAAACCATTTCTTAAATGAAGAAGTATCTTAAAGTTGGGAAGTACAGATTTTTGTGGGGTTGTGAGGGAAAACCCACACAACTGGAGAGAAAACGTATCTGTCTGTCTAACTTCAGTCCCTTCACACTCATGGCTTTGCCTCATACAGGCTCTCTCTGGGTGAGCTTGGGGAAGACCTGTCATCTTATTAGGATGTTCTGGAATCTCTTGCTAGTTTCTGTTGACATAGCAGAGGTGAAATAGTAGCCGAGTACTTTTCTAGAAGAGCCACAATTGGCAGAGGAAGGCCAATGTCTTTGGAGCCATGCGGGCTCATATTGCCCAAGCCACCTAGGATGTGCCAGTGATGACCGGAGGAGCTGGCTGTTGTCGCCATTGTGTAGTGAGGAAACCATGGCTTTGCCCAAGGTTACGAGTCCCTCAGGGATTAGGCTGAGAGTTGAACCTTGACTAGTGAAGCTCCAAAGCCCAGGTTCTTTTCTATCGTATCACACGACTCTTTTCTCTCTCGTTTAGTCAGTCTAGGTTTAGTCTCCTGGAGCGGGAAGAAGTGACTCGACCGCTCTGAGTTTTCCGTTTAACAACACCCCTTCCCAGACCCCACCAGAGTAGGATAAAGAACTCTGCCACTCCACAGGGGCCTAATGAAAATGTGCACTTCACAAAGTTCCTTTTGTCAGAGTTACTACTGCACATGTCCGGGTCAAAGTAGGGATTCTACCCCCTGGGGGACAAAAATGAGAGCTCTCATTACCTTTTTTATCAAGTTGTCTTCCAATTCCAAGCTGTCGGAATCAGGTGGGTAAAGAACGCTTGGGGCTATACAAACGGATAAATTATAAGCTGTCATCTGATTGGATGAGGAATGTTGCTCGATGTTGTATAGCACTCCAAAAAGGTATCGCAAGAGAACAACATTTGCTCTTGGCAGCTGGGCTAAAAGCCTAAGGTCAGAAAACACACTTTTAAATTAGGCAAGTGATTCCACTTAGGAGATTGGAAAAACAGAGACAGGGAAAAGGATACAACCTTGTATATCTAGCACACAACCCGCTGTAGCAGAGTTCCAGGCATGAATGTAGACAAAATTGGTGCACTGAATTCAGTTCCTGAGCCAGATAAAAACTTCTCTGGTTAGTTAAATGTTTGACAGACTTTTAAGGTCATAGCCCTGGCAGTTGATGCTCTTTCATGTGTCTTCAACCAGGGAATTTCGTCTACAAGTTTCATGGATCCAGAAGGTGTCAAATGGCCAAGGAGTCCACATTAATAAGATCAGAGGAAGAACAATAATAGCCCTAAGGCGTACCTCTATTCTGAAGCTGACCCCCATGGCTGTGAAGAATTGAAACTCTTTGACATTGGTCATGATTTTAGTGGGCAAAGCTGCAAAACGTAAGCCAATATTTTGCTAATACTATGTTCGCTGTATTTTGGAGATGTGACCACAGTAGAGTAATTATTGCATCATTACCTCCGCGCTGCAGTCATCTTCTCCTCTTCGTTCCCTTGATCAATAACACCGAGCCATTTGTCATAGAGATTGAACAAAAATATACTTCCTGGGATATTTCTTAGGAAATCCTTATGGAGATAAAAATAAATATGTATATATATTATAGAAAATATGTATTGGAAATATTAGAGAGAAAATATGTAGTTAAAAAATTCAGTTCAGCCCCCACTTCCTTCACAGATACCCAAACTGTGACCCACATGGAGCTCGGCTCTGACTCTCTATTGACTTTCACACGCAGCAGCAGGTGCTTGGATTTTCTCCCCCTAAATCTTAGAGGCATAAAAGCAGAGCTTAGGCTGTGGTAGAAATGGAGATAAAGCTCCCTTCTATCATCTGGAACTTATTTTCTTTGTGTGCTTTTTTTGCAAAGTACCACAAACTGACAGCGTCTGGCTATAGACCATCCTAAATCCTATTAGCTTCTTGGACAGAAATACGCTTACCCATGTTGCTTGTTTTAGACACAGTGCTAGCTCTTAACTCTAGCAAGAAAAGGCCTGAAACAATCAAAACACAAACAGGTGGGCTTTTGCACACATATTAGGAAAGAACTAGGTCTTCTCACTCGGGGTAGGTGTGCTCCTTGGAAGAAAGCTACTCTCACAATTGCTTCATTTTTCCTTTTCTTAACTGTCTAAAAGTCGAGAGTCTAATGGTAGACTCACTGAGGTCCTGAGGATAGATTCATTTCTAGATTAGGTCAATTCCCAGTTAGTTTGACAATATTATCAAGTCCAAGGTTGCAGAGTCTGTTTCTCCACCAAGATCCGTCAACTTCAGGAAGAGAAAACTTTAGAAATGTCTAAGCACTATACCCACAAGTGCTCACCCTCTCCCTAGTCGGTGCTTATAACACGGAATCGGGAAAGAACCTCCTAACTCTTGCTAGAAAATGGATTCCATGTGCGCACCTTACAGAGGGCAACACTCATCTTGCTACCTAATGTATCAGCATTCTTCTCCTGTCTCCTGATGCCTATATGTATATTACTACTGGATATCACTATGGCCCCAGTGTAGGAGTGGTTACCGAAGTCATTTCTGGACTTTGCTATTTAGCACATCTTCGAACATTAACGGGGAACAAGGGAAGACCAAATGTGACTGAGATTCTAAGACTGTAGTCATTACTACGTTAACATAGGGTTGTTCAGAGCTGTTCACAAGTGCCAAGGTGGATGGATTAAATTCTTTCCCTGTTCTATTTCTTTTGGAAAGTTTGCCTTCACTAGGAGGGTGGGGAGGATGTTTGCATGAGTAAACAGTGTGTATGTATTGGTGTGTATTTTGAAATTTATTATCATGACTAGAAGTCATTTCAGTATTAGTATTTTGCATGGCGACTTCAGGAGTGAAGGCGGGGTAGGCGGTGTGTAGTGAAAACAGAAAGTATTTCTAACATATGGGGCTTTTAACTCCTAAAGTAGCTTCCTTAAATTTTGATTTATCAAGCGTTTACCAGCTTGTCAGGTTCTTAATCTATTATGCCCATTATGGTTCTTGAGCAGTCATGATGAAAGACACCAATCATAGCGTCAGTTACTCATGTGTGGATAATGCTAGAACCTTCCCTACCTTTAAGACGGATGCGACCACATGAACAGATTCGCTGTACAGGTCCACTTTGACCCCAGAATTTAGTTTCTCCTTTATGACCCTAGTTGATTTTATATTGGGTGATTTGCTGAAGATGCATTCTGTGAGTGGCCCTTTTTGATTAATAAAGGAAAGCATATCCTGTAGGAAGAAAAGGAAATTATATCGCATCTCATATCCCCAAACGCAGAGCTCAAGCTTGCCTCCGTTTTGAAAGAGGAGGGGAATGCAATGGTATACTGTTTTCGTGCAGAAAGGACTAAAGTCAATTTAGATGGCTGTTTTTTCAGTGTCTCTCTATATACTTTCTACCCAAATATCCATTTTACAGTCATACACTGAAACATTTTAAACACTTCTTTTAATCAGATTTTCCTTTCCATTGAGTTTCCACTCTTAAATCAAATTTCTCTGCTTCAAGGCCTTTGCGCAATCACCGTCTGTTTCCTACTTTACCATTCTTTTCTCATTATCCCCTTACGTAGATGCTCTTCCCCAAGTATGGAAGTCTATTTAGGAAATACTCATTTCCCATTTGTTTATTTCTCTTTAAGTGACTGTATACTCCATTCCTACTTGTTCTATATCATTCCCTCTTTTAAAGTCAGGCTCAGAAACTCTCTTCCCCTTCTCTGATTACCCTCCCTTCTCATGAGTCTTTCATTGTCTTTTGCTGTATCTTCATGTCCTCTCCCTGCTGTGTAGAAATTTAATAAGGGCTGGACTCAGGGAATCCAACGGATCTGAAGTCTATTATGCTACTTATCTATTGTGAGAGCTGGGGCACATACATCCTGTACTGAGGCTTTTCTGATTCGTTTAGGCAGTGCGGAGGATGATAATCCTAGCTAGCCCCTAAATTTGCTGTGATGCAAGGAACTGGGGTAGTAGCTAGCAGGTAACATGCTAGCTAGTATAATACATTTCTTCATAGCTAGCAGAACGTTCCCTACATCCCGTACAGTGCTTGCAGAGACACCGAATACTCAGTGAAGGTCCACACTGACAATTCACTACAGCAGTTTGAGATAACACAGGCCAAACTCTGTGGCTTTCATTTGACATATTCTGTTAGGATTAACAGATTCCTATTTGCCAGAGGATGAGTCTATGCTCATGTCAGATGTTTACAATTGTTAGACTGAGTAGACTCCGCTGAAGGAGACTTGAGACTCATGTGAGTGCAGGAAGGCAATGAAGGGAGAGTGTGAAGATGAGGTGGACTCTCAGAGACTCACATACAGAGTCCATTTTGACTGATCTGAACAAGCCTCCGCATGTCTTTGTGGAAACAAGACCCAAGTGGAATGGAGAAGAATGTCTTTTCCTCTTGTATTTGCCTCATGACTCTGCAGGACCTAAATCAGATTCTATTCTTTGAAATAACACTAACAGAGCTTCTCAGCCAAAGTCAGGGGCTGTCAAAAGACTTCTCCATTTGGGGATAGATTTGGATGAGGACACGTAGCCTCTCAGAGTTTCCACTCCTCAGGAGGGCTATAGAAGACCAAAAGGAGATGACCTACCAGAATTGGCAACGGCAGGTTGTCTTTATCACACACATCCATGAGGGAAACTCCAAAGAGCTGTCCTGGCTTTGAAGAAGGTGGGGTTGTGCACTGGCTGTGCTGGCTAGTGCTGGAGCCCAGACAACAGGCCCAGTCTCTGAAAAAACGGCTTTTAAGTGTCTTCTGCCCGTAATCTAAGGAAGAAGTGAAATTAGTAGTAGTAGTAGTTGTTTTATTTGCTTAACCTTCTTTTCTTTTTTTTTTCTAAAGATTTTATTTATTTTTTGATAGAGAGCCAGTGAGAGATGGAACACAAGCAGGGGGAGCGGGAGAGGGAGAAGCAGGCTTCCCACCCAGCATGGAGCCTAATGCAGGGCTCAATCCCAGGACACGGGGATCATGACCTGAGCCCAAGGGAGACGCTTAACAACTGAGTCACCCAGGCACCCCGCTTAACCTTATTTTCACCATTCCCACTCTACGGTACATTCACTGCAATGGCTAGAAGAGGGAAACTGAGGCATTTTTTGTGTAGAATTCTCCATGTTTTGAAATTGGCCAATAGCATTCTTACGGTGTTAAGAGTTCTTCCCCAGATCCTGCAAACTGATGGTTAAACCTAGAGACTTGATCAGATTTAGTGTCAATGCTTTCAATCCCATCTACTGCCCGTTGGGCTTTATCATGAGGCACTTAACTTGTTGTTTCCTATTGGTAAGTATGATTAGTGGATTCATCCAGTGTCAGATCTGATTTTAAAAGCTCAAAAGATCTGATATTCAAATCAAGCTGAGTTTGTTAATCATCTGCTTTCACAGTGAGTCTCCTCCCAGCCTTAAGTTTCCTCTTTGGCTTTCTGAGTGCTCAACTTTTTTTTTAAGATTTTATTTATTTATTTGGCAGAGAGAGACAGCGAGAGAGGGAACACAAGCAGGTGGGGATTGGGAGAGGGAGAAGCAGACTCCCACTGAGCAGGGAGCCCGATGCAGGACTAGATCCCAGGACGCTGGGATCATGACCTGAGCTGAAGGCAGACGCTTAACGACTGAGCCACCCAGGTGCCCCTGAGTGCTCATCTTTCTATGATCAAAAGGATCTGCCTTTCATGACATGATCCGCCTGACCCCACTTCTCAGGCAGCCTCTGGTGTCTCTGCTCTGGGCCATCCCCAAGGATGACTTCCTGCAGTCAGGGTTCTTGGGAAATAGTCATTACATGCTGGCTATGTGGTAAGATTCCAGGTGACTGTGTTTTTTTGTGATACCCCACCAAGCTACCCAGAGATGACTTTTTTTTTTTTGTAAATTATGTTTGATATTTACTGAAAAGAGTCTAATCCACAATGAATTGCACCCAATTCCTCACACATACTCAAACATACATGTATATACACCATACCAGTACAAGGCTTGAAAGAAAACATACAAAAAGAAAAACAATGAGAGATTATGAATGCCTGATTTATCCCCAATTTCCAGAGATGATTTTGAATTACCCAACATTCTCTATCAAAGGAATGCAGAAGAAGAGCTTTACAAAGAAAAGGTGATCTGCAGTGAAAAGCTGAGTTGAAAGTTTCTACTGCTCAGCTATGAATGTTTTCCTTAGAAGATACCTTAACATTTGCTTCCAAAATCTGCTTAAATAACTGAATTCTTTAAAAGTCCACAGAGGAGCCAAGCTGTAGAAGGATAAACAAATGAGCAACATTTCACCAAACACCCATAAACACCTGTCCACTGGGCTTTTCTGGGATGTAGTGAGTGCATCACCGTATCCACTCACGTGGGTGGCAACACTCATGGCACCTGACCAGAGAGACCAGGATCTAAGAACCAGAAGCATCCTGGTTCTGCCACCTAGTTAGATTACTCAAAGATTCTGAAGGTTTGGTTTGCTTCACTTTAACATAAATGCTGCTGCCTACAACTCGTTGAACTAAATGTAATGTACTACTCAGCACAAGGCATGGCTCATGGCAGCCTTGATAAAAGTAATTTCCTTGCTCAGAAGGCCTCAGGCAGTCTAGACATCAGTCTCTTCCCCCTCCAAAGCAGACATCACTCCCATTCTCTATTTGATTTTGCAACCTCTAGAAGGTAGGCAATCATGAAGGATGGCTACCACTTTACTTAACTAAGGCTCTTTCTTCCTGCCCTGAAATTGATACACCTACCATTTTAAAAGGAGAGAAGAAAGAAAGCAAACACATTCTTAAATCCAGGAGGAGATTCCTGTACATCAAAATGTATGCATTTGCTGAAGATACGTGTTAATATGTAAGTTGAGTTGTTGTATGCAACCTGGGTTCCCTACTCTTCCCCTAGTTTTATTATTTCTAAAACTACCCAAATATATTCCATTCTTCAGCTTTAATAAGAAGAATGCTCTTAAGAAGAATGTTGTATCCCTTGGTACAAAGCTATATATCTAGCTACTCTATGAGTATATACAGAAAATAAGTACACATTGAGTCCTATACTTTCTCCAAGGTATTTTCAGGCTTAGCTGGATGTTTTATAATGTACATTATTTGCTGTTAGAGGTCATGTTGCCTCTATTACTAATAAAAATATATGCTATAGCCATGAAAAATATAGGAATGATTAAACAAGCTAACTTCATGGAAACCTATTCTTTCTTAAACAGTCCTGGCAAGATTTGGGTTAATGTTTCCTAATGCTTGAATTAGGGTATGAATATTAAAAAATAAAATTTTTGAAACCTTGTGCTTATAGAATAACAATCATAACAATAAAATACTTTCTATTTTGGCCCAATACTTCTCAGATGAATAACACATTTTCATCAGAGAAAAAAATATCAATGGGAGAATACTGGAATGGTAGGGAAAAAAATAGCAAGAAGGAAGATGAAAAAGCCCTGACCATAAACATTCAGTCTAGCTCCAGCCTTGACCTGTGTCTGAAGCAGACATGGAAAGTGGGGGCAGAATTGAGACTTGAATTCTAACTGTAAGCCCAAGGCCACTTCAGCCTAAGCCCAGAATAAATCCAATTCAGTTCCATAACTCTTTACTCCACTGGAGTTCTTCCATTCCAGGTGCGTCTAAGCCATGCAGTCATTTGATTCCATCCTGTGATGGCCTGAGATACTAGATAAAACCCTGGAATAGGGAAGACCTGTTTTCAGGCCACAAACAGCTTGTGCTCTAAGAAGACACACAGATGTATACTCACATAATTATATGTAGAAAGTGTTCTGGGGATACAGAGAAAGGAGTTAACAGTCTACCTAGGAGAATTAAAACAAGCACACAACCTTCCTCGAAGTGAGTTGGGTCTTAAGACCTTTGGGTTTCTCTAAGCTTGATTCTGTGCAGTTTGGGGGTTCTTGCCTCTACTGTTCCTCCCCACCCCCCACAGAGAGAGTGAGCTCTGTGTCCTCAATTTGTGGGCAAGAGTGGAGACATGAGCCAAGAGAAGACACCTGAAGAAAGGGAAGGGGCTCACCTCTCCCTTGCTCATTCTGCGTTGGGTGCCTGGGCTTCAGGATGAACTGGCCTTGCATCTCTGCGAACCCCTGCTCCAGAAGGAGGGACTCCTGGAGGGTGGAAGGAGAGATGGAGTCCTCTGGTGTCTGCGGCAGCAGTGTGGTAGATGGAAGATGGCTCATTTTAATTCCATAGGGATGTTTATGTCCTATATGGAAAAAATATAGATTCAGGTTGATGGTGATGGCTCTGATCAAATCCCCCTTCCCATGAGTGTATGCATCACACTGGTATATGCTGCTATTCTCCTGGGGCTTCTGGCACTCACTCTGTGCCTCCTGAGTGAGCATCATATTCGCTCTTGTTGGAGACACCTTGCAAAAAGCAGGTGCCCAAGGAAAAGATTTTTAAAAGAGAAAAAAAATTTAAAGCATGTTACTTTACTTGGAATACAAAGATTCATCAGTGCATTGCACAATGCTGACTTTTGCTGTGTTTCCATCTGAGAATATTTAAGGCCTTCTAGTTTCTGCCTTGACACTAACGAGATCTGCACATCTTAGGCAAATTACTTGACCCCTCTGAGCCTTACATTCATCCTTTGAAATGCTTGCCCTCACACAAACTTATAAGGATCAGAGTAAATATATTAATATGCATTGGTGGGTAATATTTTTTAAATAATTGAACATATATATTAAGAATTGCTATTCTCTCTCACATAATGTCAGTTGAGCAGATTTTTTTTCATTTCGTTTTGTCAATTTCTAGAGGCAGAGCTACTCAAGGGCAGTGGGATGGGTTGCTTTTATGCTTTATACTTCCCTCCCACTGCTGCCCTTCCTCCAAGGGGAGTCCTGCCAGGTGATGATCAGAGGGAAGGCTGCACAGTGTTGGGAACCCAGAAGCAAAGTGCAAAACGATGTTTACAGAGTGGAAAACTGCACCCAGAGTCAGTGAGAGTTGCCTGCCAAGTGATTTGTTTTGTTCTTGTATGCTTTAAATTGTTTCCTCTCTATAGAATTCTCAAAGACCCTGTGCTATAGGATATGGATCTCATTTTTTAAGAACAGAATGGAAGTTCTCTTTCTGTCGTTTCTGATTTATTATTGAATGTAACTTGGGGAGCTTTTGCTGTTCCTTCTCATCTGTCATGGATGCAGTGTCAGTGATGTGTTCACAAGAATCACAGTGACTTCCCTCTTTTAAGGAAAAAGAAGCTTCTACGACAGCAATACAACCAAATCACAAAGATAACCAGGAGATAATCTGCAGTTGAGAATTGAGAGCATTGGTTAAAAATGCATTTTGAATGCTGCCAATGGATCATCATGAATGACAGGCTCTCCGGATTCCTTAGAGCTGCCTTGGTGTGTGAAGCTGCTCAAAGTCTAAAAAGTTATCATCTCTATTGTTTTACCTAAATTAATCACTTTATTAAAATAAATATATTTAAGTATTTGACTTTTTCCTTTTTGTGGTTGGCCGACTTTTACAGAGATGTCAATATTAATATGAAACATGAAATGGTGGGGGGGATTTTTTTCCTCAGCTATGCCCTTGGTGACTCTCTGTATTCTAAGACTGGGAATATACATTTCGTAGAAAGAAATTGGTTATTTAGATTTCCAGATCACTTGAAAATATTCTTTAGATAACTTGAAAAAGAGTAATAGCCTCACGGGATTATTTTCTTTTTAAGATTTTATTTATTTATTTGTCAGAGAGAGAGAGAGCACAAGTAGGGGGAGCGGCAGGCCAAGGGAGAAGCAGCTCCCCACTGAGCAAGGAGCCCAGGACCCTGGGATCATGACCTGAGCCAAAGGCAGACACTTAACTGAGCCACCCAGGCATCCCGCCTCACAGGATTATTAAAAAGATTTTGAAAAATGCATGTAAGAAGGAATGCTCTAAGATTTCTAGCAGAAATCATTGTCACCATTACCATACATTACTATACTTCAAGGTCTGCTACAGATCCTCTCTTTTTTCTCTGGTTTTTTAATCCTTCTATTTCTGGTAAGCACTGAACAATTTTGCTAATCCAAAGATTTTTTTTTAGAGAACTTGTGCTGATAACTACTTTAGGAGAGGTGTAATCTGTTTATCAATAACCTTAAGAACAGTGATGGAAAAAGCCTGAGAAACAGCAAAGTGCAGGTAGTTTAGTCAGTGAAGACTTGAGGAGTTTAAATGTGATTATCTCATTTTCTTTATGATGCTGAGAAAACTTCTGGGCACAGAGCAGGTGTTAAATACATACCTATACCTGGATTCAGAGACATGATTGGATTTTAGCGGATTCTCACAAAATAGAGGCTATTTAGTTGTTAGGAACTGGAATTCAAGACTGGAATATGAAAAATAAATGGATGGGAAAAAGAAATTCCAATTCTTTGCTTTCATACCTAAGTGAGTAAATAAGTAAGTAAACAATAAACAAAAAAATTTTTAAGACAGCTCTGTTTGTCAGGTAAAATGAAGTAGAAACGAAAAATTTACATTTCTCTCCCTAACTAGACCTTAAGCTGATGAATGAAGAGATGTCCTCAGTGCCTGGGAAAAAGTAAGCACCTGGTAATTCTTTAATAAACGTGAGAGTGAATATTGCATGTGATTTTCACTTTTAAGGGTATTTAAGCTGAAGATAGAACAACCATTACTTTGAGATGTAGAGTTACAATTTTGAACCTAATCAATCCCATCTTAGATTTTCCCTGACACTTACCAGTGAGTGGGTGTGGGGACGCTTCCTTGCCAGCACTCACCCACAGCTGGTAGTCTTTCTCAGAGCCCTTGGAAACAAAAAGAACTATGCATCATAACAAATCTTTCACAGTACTTGAAGAACACATTTCCTTTGCATTTCTCTGTTTCCAGAAAGGAAGAATTGGGGCCAGTATAAATGCCATTTGGTCCATGGAGGTAGCTACAGTACTTGTTAACTTGTTCCCTCATAGCCTCCAGTGGACCGTCCCAGGTTCTTGTCATTTTTGATAAAGGCCAGGAAACCACAGTACAATCAGCCCCTCACGGTGTGGGTGGCCCATGGCTTAAGAAATCACAGTTGTGCCCCTTCGCTAAGGAGGAAACTTCTAATCTCAGAGTCCTGCCTTCCGCTGTCTCTAGATTCCTTGGATAATGCTGGCTTTTGCCGCCAAATGTCCCTGCCCTGACATGCATATTGTCCAGAGAGCCATATACCCTGCTATGACTATTCCTGAGCAAAGTAACTTGAAAGGCATCAATAGCTCAGCAGCCCTGGGCAAAAGGAGACAAACGCCCAAGAGGCCTTGAGGAGATAGTGGACTGAAGTCAGCCACTGGCTTTGGTGCAGGCAAGCCCCACTTCAGGGAGAGAAAGAACAAGGACTCTAACCTAGACAACATATCAGATGCAGAAAACAATTACTCCCAGCAGAATTACCGCCCAGTAAACCTGGAAGTCCTACTTGAAACAAACACATCTAAATTATAAAGATCGCTGAACTATTTTAGAGAGTCTTCCAGGAGACTAAAGCAAAAAATGTTTGACGTGGAGTTGTTGGTGATAGGTACTATGCTTGCCCTGGACTCCTGATTCAAAATCATGGTCTTGCCCTTATGAAGAAAGGTCATAGGTATGGACACAGCACACACACAGACACACGCAGACACACAGACACACACACATAGCTAAATCTGCTCAAAATTGTATTGCAAATAACTCGTGAGAGCCAGTAAGGTAGGGTAGGGTTTGGAAATGCTATGCTGGGATCCCTTAAATCAGGCATACATAAAGCCAAATAACCCCAATTCTTCATTAAAACAGAAATTCTTTGTGTGCTGAGATTGATCACTTTATGCAAAGGAAAATCACAAACATGAAATAAAATGAGCCTCATCATTAATCAATCTCCTCAACTTCATCCCTAAAACCACTCACTCTCTTTCTAAGACTTAATTCCTATTTAGGGTATATATATCATACAGGTTAGAAATCAATGTAGATATGTGCTTTACTCAGTACCTATAAATTCAATTTTATTTCAGATATATTATTAAATTTTGTTTGTACAGAAATCATTGATTTCTTATGCTAAATTCCAGTTGCTCTGAATTTTTAAGGGGCTTTATTATACCATTGGGTCAGACAGAATTTAAGTAAGAATCTTGTAATTATATCATGTCATAATAGCAAGACATTTTTGCATTTATAGAGGATTTTATATAAGAAGCTGTGCTTTACAAGTGCTCCCTTCAGTTCTGTCCATCTGACTATCACTCTCCCGCTCTTTTCCCTTAGAAAACCTCATCCTCAAATATGTCCATGTTTTTCATCAAAAAAAAAAAAAAAAAAAAAATCCAGCAACTCACACCAGCACCATCAAAACATAAAGGAACAGGCCGTTAAAACCAAAACAAGATGAAAGTGATATGTACGCAACTGCCCCCAGATCATGGTCTTATTCAGAACTTGTCCTCTTTACCAGTTCATAAGGGGTGTGAGCCGCCTCATCCCAAGGAACTGCATCAAGAGGAGGTAGCTTCTAGCCATGTGGTCTTTATGTCAAAATGTACAACAAAACATATAATTTAGGATTCATCTAACTGGGATTGAGTCCTTGGGTGATGACCAGGGTAAACAGGGATGGGGAGGAATCAGGAACGAAGACACAGACAGAAGAGTCCAATAGAGGAGGAAATATTTAGAAACTTAGAAATATTTTATTGTCTGTGTATAAAATATATACAATAAACTGCATGTTGTTATTAGCACTCTAAAATTATAGCCCAATTTTATGCTATGATTTTGAATTCGCAGAAAATTTAAAATGGGAAGACAAGAAGAGCACCCATGTATAGGCTAATAATATAGCTTTGCTGCCTTCAATTTCTAAATCTGGGGGACAAAATATGACTATGATATGTATAATAATCAGCTGTCTTATAACGGGAGGTACACAACACACACACACACACACAAATCTCAAAAGTCAAAGATGGTTTTTAAATTAAAAATAGTTTGCAAGGGAACTTACAGTTATTCCTAGCATTGGTAGTGACATGTTGATAATGTCATTCACTGTGTCTGAATTTGTTACTGTTACAGTTACAGACTGTAAAAAAGAAATAAGAAAAATTGCTATAAATTTTTAAAAATTTAAAGCAGGTGACCAAATAATTATTGTCAAATTATTATCCATACTCTAAAGGCAAAGCTTGTTTTCAGTTAATGACAAAGTAAAGCATATGTAGAGCACACACCCTTGATTATATTTTCATTTCTTTACATAACATGAAGCTAGTAGGAAACATTTCAGTGAAACATATATTTCCCTTCAAGGATTTGTGGCTTACAAAATATAGCAGCTTAAGCAAGAAAGAGAAAAACAGAATTCCACGAGGGGACATGAACTGACCCTCAGCTCCATAAGGCTATTCCCAAAATAGAGAGGGGAGATAGTTTAAAAAGGAGGAGCTAGATACTTTTCTCTCTTCGCAATTACATACTCAGTTTCAGCAAAATCAGAATAAGAACCGTCTGTGACAGACATTTTTTTTTTTTTAAACTACTATTTAGTCAGTACTGTCTTTGTGTCATCATGGTTACTAAGATTTCCATTGTTGAAATCTGTTGAGACAAATAAAACCAATGAGTCTAGGAAATGAGACTGAAAATTTTAGAAGTTTATATTCCATTCGCAACTCTGACAGTGAGTAGTTACTTATAATATCTCTCTATCACACCTTATATTGAGAAACTGCTCCATACAACAAGGAAAACAGTTATTGAAAATTATCTGAAAGGGATGGATAGGAATCTGAGATGATATCTATAAAACTACCCGAATTCCAAAAGACATTTTAAAATAGGACAATATGTAACCAACCACGCATACACTTTTTATAACATTATTAGGCAATGAGGCCTGTGTTCTTTGAGAAACAGTGCATGAAGAAGACAAGCAACAGAAGTGGACACTCACAGTCCTTAAAAATATTAAAAACAAAGTTAAAAGAAACTTGTTCTTTCATTGTATTTTTCTTCTTATGAATTGAAATGCAATTGCTTGATATGACAGATGGCCCAAAAGTTGTTTGATAATCGAACTTTTATAAACAAAAGTGTTCATTGATTTCAAACTACTTGAGCTTTAAGGATTATAAAAAAAAGTGTTCAGAACCTAGCAGTAGGACTCAGAGCACCCAAACTCAAGGATATCCTATGTTAAATTGTCTAGGAGGGGCTTCCTATGTTAAATTGTCTAGAGGATTCAAGACTGGGTCTTAGCTTGAAATTTAGTTAGAAGTAATGGCTCTGCTATTTTTTTTAAGATGTCTGAAAGCCTTTCAGTACAACTTAAAATCTTTCCCACAAAATTTTTTTTTTTTTTTAAGATTTTTGTTTATTTATTTGTCAGAGAGAGAGCACAAGCAGGGGGAGCCACAGGAAGAGAAGGCAGAGGGAGAAGCAGGCTCCCCTCTGAGCAGGGAGCCTGATGCAAGACTCCATCCCAGGACCCTGGGATCATAACCTGAGTCGAAGGCAGATGCATAACTGACTGAGCCACCCAGGCATCCCTCCCATGAAATCTTTTTAAAGAAAAAAAAATCTCTTTTGAAATACTAATAATCACTTTTTAATTTATCTGGTCTGCAAGATAATGGTTTTCATGGTATAAGGAACATACTATGTTCAAAATAGTAATTCCAGAGATGTATGTATATTTTCCTGCATGTTGTAGGTTCTCCAAAACAGATAAATTCCAGTAGATAGAGCTCTCTGTAAACAAATGACTTCAGAAAAATAAGCTGCTTTTTGAAATAATTTAAAAGAAAAAGAAATGTTACTTTTTTTTATATGAGTCAAAGTGTTACTTAATATAGGAAGAACAAGGAATATGTGATCAATTCTCAAGAGCTGAAGCCAACCCTGAGATGATCTAGATGTTCAGACTGTTAGCCAAAAACAGCTATTACAATAATGCTCAATGATACAAATGAAAATATGTTCACAATAAACGAAAGAGGCATCTTAGCATAGAAACTAAAAATATTTAAAAACAGAAATTTTTTATCTGAAAAATATCTTAAAGAAAAAATTTACTGACTAGGCTACATTGCATAATGGAGATGACAAAAAGAAGTCAGTGATTTGAAAATAGATAATAGAAATTATCCTGTCTGAAGAAGAAAAGGGGAAAAAAAGATTGAAAAAATTAAGAGTCTGAGGGATCTATGAACAATATGAAAGGGTCTAATATACATATAACTGGACTCTCAGGAGGAGAGGAGAGAGAAAATGGGGAAGAAAATATTTGAGGTAATCATGATTAAAATTTCCCAAATTTGGTGAAATTAAATTTATAAATTCAAGAAGTTCAGAATATGCCAAAGAGGACAGATTCAAAGAAAACCATGCTTTGATACTTCATAGCCACACTGCTAAAAACCAAAAATAAAGAGAAACTCTTGAAAGCAGCTAGAGAAAAATGACAAATCACCTATAGGGGATTAATGTTTGATTGATCACAGACTACTCATCAGAAAGCACAAAGACAAAAAGACAGTGGAACATCTTTAAAGAGCTGAAAGGAAAAGGTTTGCGAACAAAATTCTACATCCCTCAAAATATCCTTCAAGAGTGAGTGTGAAATAAAGCCATATTCAGATAAGAGAAATTAAGAAAATCTGTTTGCACCAGGTCTGCACAAGAAATGCTAAGGATCATCTCTCTAGGATGAAATGAAAACAGTGTTAGAGGGAAACTTGGATGTTCAGGAACAAGTGAAGAACATTAGAAATGCTTATTTTGTGTAAATTATACATAAATAAAGTTGATTTTTAAAGATTTCAAGGTAATTTTCCATGGAAAATTCTGAGTGTAACCCACTGCCACAGCTGAAATCAAAGCAGGCAGAGACAAGAGTGTGCTCTGCTGCTAGAGAACCCTCTGGCCTTATCTCCTTCATGCAATGCATCTACCTGGTGCTTAGAAACCAATCAAAATATTTGCATGGCTTTTGCTTTGGCCAGGAATAACTACCACTTTTTCCACCTTCAAATACTATTTTGTGTGACCTAGAGCTACTGTAAAGTATAACAGGAAAAAAAAAAATGTCACTTAAAGATACCCAAAGTATCTTGTTCATCATTGCAAATGTCTTGGCTACTGCACTACAATTTCAGAAATCAAATTTTATATCAAGAATGGGCAACTGTTTTGATTTTTTTCCCCCAACAGCCAAAAGAAAATGAGATAGAAATATGCTGATCCCTTAAAAGTGTCATCCCTCTGAGCTCAATTCAACCCTGATATTCCTTGGATCAAAAGACCTTTCAAAACCCCTCTGCAGTTGATATAACTACTAAGTGAAATACCTGACCCTTGAGGAGATCCTGTACTGGAAAGGAGACATTATTGAGGTCAACTGACAAAATGGGAACATGGAAGGCAGAGTAAAGTATTACACCGATGTTAAATTTACTAAAGGTGATAACTGTGTGATGGTGATATAAGAGGATATCTTTATTCTTGGGAAATACCTAGGTTTAAGGATAAAGGGCCATGGCATTTGTATGACCCTCAAAAATAAGTATAACATACACATAATAGGGACAGAGAAAGAAAATAAATGATAAAGCAAGTGGAGTAAAATGTTACTAATAGCTGAATCTAGGTAAAGGGTGCATGGGGTGTTTTTTGTTTTATTTTTATACCTACAACTTTTCTGTGAGTTTACAGTTATACCAAATAAAGCGTCAATGGGGGGAGGGTGGAGAACTGTGGAAACAATCCAAACCATTCTGTACATAAGTAGTAACCATTGGGAAAAATGTTTAATTCTAGTAGGAAATACCTGCATGTGAAAATCACCTTATTAGAAGCCAGTGTTGTTGCTATTAGAAAGAGCCAGGGAAATATTATGGATATTTAACATGCAATATTCTTTCCATGCTTAAGTACCGTGGCATGGATTCCTCTCGCTTCATATTACTTAGGATTCACTCTTTATGTATACAAAGACACGTGTAGACAGGAAAATACATTTTCCCACATGGTACTTTTCTAAATACTCTCTCTCTTCTTATCTTTTGCTCTCTCCTTCCTACCTCTCCATCTCTCCCTCCCTCCCTCCCTCCCTCTCTCTATCTCCATCTCCATCTCCATCTCTTTCATTCTATCTGAATCAGGAACATGGAATTTAATTTTTGGTCTTAAAAACACTTACACAGGCACAGTTCTTGATGTCCTCAGTGAAGATTCTGAGAGGAATGCTTTTGGGCTGGTCCTTCTCTTTGGCCAGACTGATATACCTAATCAAATTCAATAAGAACCCCAAATAGAGTAGGATGAATTAGCTATTAGCTTACTTTCAAATTGATCTATGTGGCTAAAATTTTCAACATACTCTGTTATTTTTAAATGCATGTAAATAAACTCAGCAACATCAAATTATGGGTTGGAAGAAAACATGCAAAACTATTTCAGGAAAATAAGACATGACTCAGAAAACAACAGGTTGCTCTTGTCATGTAAGATGTGAGTAGCAGATCCAGTCATCAAAGCTTTCCTGCCTAGACTGGAGGGCCCAGCACCTTCAAGGGTAGGAATGAGAAGGTGCTTTGAGCATCACTCAGGAGAGTAAATTGCACTTAAGAAAATTTAATATGTATCTTTTGAGAATAATGTTAGCTCCAATCATTAGGTCTGAGAGAAGGGGAAGATGAGAGTGATAACCAGAATTTCATCAAAAATAAGCAATATGTGCATGTAAATAAGAGCAGATTATTTGCAATAGCAGCCAGGGTACATCTAAATAAGAAATTATTTGAGGATAGTCTAACAATTTCTACTAAGTAGGGGAAGCATAGTGTGTGGGGGCACTGCTTTGAAGAGATTTATTCTTTTCTCATGGGTTAAAGATGTATAATATGTATAGTGACAAGATACCTTTGAAGGAAAGAATGCCATTTTTCCTTTTGTTCCGAAGAACTGCGATTTAAAAAAAATGGGAAGAAAAAATTAAGATACATACAATATTTATACTAGCAAAATAAGATCACCATTCCAGAAAAAAAATATCAGCAGCCAGTTGTTAAGGATGTGGATGCATGTATTAATATCATACTGTCCTCATTGTTGCGCTTTGGAGGGACCCCACTCTTTTATGAGCGTATTAAAGCAATGGGAAGTAGACCCTAAAGTGGGAGAAAAGTTGGTTTTGAATCTGAACACTTAATTGTAACTATGTGATGCAAGCTATGTGATCATGGGCACTTTGCTTAACTGCGCTGATCTTCAGTTTCCAGAACTGGAAAAGGGTTAATTATACCCCGAGTGTTCCTGCAGCTGCAAGTGCTATTCAGATATAAAGAACATTATTATTCAAATTAAATCATACTTAAGGAATTTGGCATTTGGATGGAACTATCTTGGCCCAGAAACAAGAATAGCTTTTTAGGAAAAAACACCTGTAATATTTTTATTTCTTTATACACATAGCAGATTGGAATGTGTTAAATTAGTTTCTAGAAAACATTCTTCGTTACTGTGATCCTCTGAGCAAGATCAATCCAGCTAGTGTTAAACTACTAAAGGTTAGTCTTTTCTCAACTAAAGTTTTCACAGCATTTAATACCCAAAGTTGCGAATGTTTTAAGCCTCATGCATACATGGCCTTACCACTTACTAGCGTTTTTTTACCGTGGTAAACTACACAAAATAAAATTGACCATTAGTGACCTTTAGTACATTCACAGTTTTGTGCAACTACCGTGACTGTTTAGTTCTGGAACATTTTTTCACCCAAAAGCAAACCTGTGTCCACGAAGCAGTCACTCTTCCTTCCTTCCTGTTTCTAGCTCCTGTACCATATTTTGTGTATTTGTTGATAAACACTTGGGTTGTTTCTACTTTTGTTTGTTTGTTTGTTTGTTGGCTATTGTCGACAATGCTGCTATGAATGTTTGTGTGTCAATTTTTGTGTGGACCTATGTTTCTCTTGGGTATCTATCTGGGGGTGGCATTGCTGGGTCGTATAGTAATTCTGTTTGACTTACTGAGGAACCATCAAACTGTCCACAGTGGCTGCCACATTTTATACTCCTCCCAGCAACACTGCTCCCCAACCCCTCCATCGCTGTTTCAGGATTTGTCCCATCTGGAAAATGGAACGCCCACTTAGCGTCCCAGCCTGCCTATGCGCATGGACACAGCTTCTAGTTAGCCATGCTGATCTGCAGAACAGTAATAATCACAAATAGCAAAAGCACTAGGTGCCAGGAATTGTTATAAATGCCTTCTATATGTTTACACAGCTTTTTAACTAATATAGCATGTATAAGCCTGGCTTCCACATTTTCCTCCTTGTTAGGGAAAAAAAGTCTCTTGGAAACTCCCCTGTCAAAGACTTTATACATTCCCAATTGAAACTGTTTCCTTCCATTTGCAACATGGAGAAGACAGGAAGCAAGAGGAACTGAGAATCTTTACAGAAATACGTCGTGGAAAAGAAGACATGTGGAGAGCATATAAATACATATTTCTTCCCAATAAGCTTTGAAAATTTCTCCTTAAGTCAACGCTGCATTATAGGGCTTCATAAATTAACAACTTGTAAACATTTTCGTTGTCTTCCCTTTGTGATGACGTGGGACATTTTGGTGGAGTGGGGTGAGGAGAAGAAAGAAGGGTGTTAAGTGCATGTGATGAACACTCATTGTGCAAAACAAGAATGAGACTTGGGGTGTGGTTGTTTCAAACAGCAGATGTAAGTGTTGCACCACCCCTGTAAACTCAGGAGTGTCTGCTCAGGATGTCCGGGGTAGAGAGTCACATTCCCCATCCTCGTGTCAGCCTAAGAATGTGTCTTGCACAACTAACCTCTACTCAATGCAATCATACTTTTGTTTTAGATGGTCACCTCTCTAGAGACACCAACTAAGATAATCAGTACACAGCAATTCAGGCAACCTCATATTCAATGACATGATTAATTTATTTGTATAATTCCATACTATTTTTAAAGGAATGACCTTGGGAGTATAAGAGCAATTTTTCAAATTTAATTGGACTCTTTAATAGTACTTGCTCAAGAAAAATATGCCAGTGATTTAGAAACACACATACCCCCTGGGAATTAGGGGGCAGGATATTGGAGAGGGGTTCTAGAACCTCACTCTCTTGATTCTCCTTCCATATGCCTAAAACACCCAATTCCTCAAGTGGCTCCTAGAGCCCATGGGAAAAACCACTGATCAAAACCAAAAGAAATTACTCCAATAGTTCCCACTCTATGTTATCTACTTGCTCCCATGTGTACATACCTTTTGGGGGAAAGTACAAGGCAAATGAGTGTCATTATGGGAAGTCAAAAAGGGAGTCACTGGCTTGACATATAATCAGATTAAAATGTTTTCCTTTTTAACCCATGTAAATACAAGACCAAACGGTCGGTCTTACCCGAAGGTGGCCACAAAGGTCACCGTGGGCCAGCCCAGGATAAAGGACCTCCCAGCACAGATGTTGGCATCCTCCACTCTGTCCATACAGTTGGCAGTCCACATGGTGTTCAGTGGTATTTTCTTTTTTATCTTAAGTTTTTTCTTATACCTAGAAAGATACCCAAACAAGACCTCTGTTAGTTTGTTTCATAAATGTTATGGGAACAGCTGTGCTCATCAGAGACCAGTTCTCACTGCTCCAGGGCACAGCATGCCTCCCTTGTCTCTATTACCCTCTGTGCCCAGCACAGCAAATGGTGACATGACCTTTACAAAGTGTGTGTTGAGCGAAGTCTGGCCCTAGGAAGGCCCTGAAAACACTTCCTCAAATGGCAGCAAGTGGCCATTTTTCTGAATGTTGAGTGTTGAGTAAAGACTATATATTCCAGAGCTTTTTAAGAAAACCATTAATTCATTTATTATTGTTAGAATTTGTTTCTTATTATATATAGTTTTATGGTTATTATTATAGTTAATTATTCATTTATGACTTGCTTACTTCAAAAAGTATTTGAGGGGCTGAACAAAGCTACCTGATACACGATTTATAAAAATAGTCATACAATTTTTTGCTTAAGAGACACAAACCAGGGGGCGCGCCTGAGTGGCTCAGTCGGTTAAGCATCCAACTCTTGGTTTCGGCTCAGGTGGTGATCTCAGGGTCTTGAGATCGAGTCCCCATGTAAGGCTCCCCTCTCAGTGGGGAGTCTGCTTCCCCTCTCCCTTTGCCCCTCCCCCCGCTCACGCTCATTCTCTCTAAAATAAATAAATACATAAATAAATCTTCAAAAAAGAGAGAGAGAGAGAGAGAGAGACAAACCAAGAACAAAAAATAAACTTGGATCAGAAAGATTTTTTTTTTTTTTTTTTTTGGGATCAGAAAGATTTAAAAGTTATTTTCAACCTTAATTTTAAAAAAATACTTTCTAGCCTTTAAAGCATAGGTTATTTTCAATTTCCCTTCTTAAAATTTTATCCATATCATTTTCCCTTAGATTCTGGCTAAAACTGAAAAACTGTTAGCCTACAGATTGAGCCCAATTTAAAAATCATCAATCCATCCATCAATCAATCCCAGATCAGTGGTCAGGAGGTCTTATATGTGAGTGATGGATACTTCCCATTTCTCTGAGGAGTCAGAAGGTGATCAACTTTGTCAGTGGTGAAATTGCTTTTTGACAATTTCTGCCTAATCTTCTTTGATCTCTAACATGAAAACCACCATATTGATTAATTTGGTTAATTCACAACTTTAACTCTCAGGTGGGCTTGGGATTTAAATAGTTATAAGCCCTCTGAGGGATGCTTAGGGAACTTGGACACACCACTCTGGAACTCCTTACTATTCAGAAACACATGTGGAAACACTAAACTAAAATGAGATCAAAGACACCTCATGTGCAAAAATCCCTATGACTCCAGTGATTCATGGAACAATTAAAGCTAAGACTCTCCAATGGGTTTTATGAAATAAAAATAATTTTGCTGGAAGCACACTTGAAGGATAATCTAGATTCAAAGTTTATGACACAATGAATAAAGTCATCGGATAAAATCATTATCAGATATCAGATAAAATCATTTTTCTAGATAGTAACTCCAAAGGCATTGTCAAGGTAAAAACATATGGCTAATGGGAAAGATAGACATATATCTGTTGGTTTTTAAGATTTTTTTTTTTTTTTTCTAATGTAGGTATCTGTGTGTATACAGACACCCAAGGTACTGTGTGGGAACTTCCAAATACATTGACCTGGAAAAAGGCATTTCAGTAATTCTCTCCTTAGTTCAAGAAAGCACCAAGATTATCTACGCCAAACCAAGGAGTTATCCCAAAGCCCAGAGCATGGTTTCGACTGTCCTATCACATTTGGAGCACTTATCATATGCCAAGCACTGTTCTAAACATTTTATAAATACAAATATAAAAAATGTAATCCTCAAACAACTACACTAGGTGGTCTTTATTAGCTCCATTTTACAAATAAGGAAACTCACAGAAAGGTCAACTAAATTGCCAAAGGCAAGAGAGTTTGAACCCAGACAGCCTAACTCTTGAGCCCATGTTTGTAACCACTTGGCCTCTGTGGGTGCTGACCTATCGTTCCATGAACTACCCTTCTCATGTTTCCTACCCTCACTCAGCCTCACTTCGATCCCCAGAGCCATCAGGCTTTCTCATTGGATTATCTGGGGAGTGAGAGGATAAATCTCAAGACATTATATTAACAAAGCTGGTTACTAGCTTGGAAATATTTAAAGTTTATTACAACAAAGCTTCATACTTCAGTGGATTCTTCTAGGGTCTTACTGCATTTCTTCACTCTCAATCACTGACCCAACTGGATTATCTCAGTAGAAATTAGAAAGTATTAATCTGATGTAAACTGACTTGAGGAGAAGAAAGAGGAGGAGAAAGAACTGTGGTTTTTATTTCTAAAAATAGTCCTTTATTATATTTGTATTAACATGATGGATATCACTCTTGCTTTCTGCTACCTCAACCTTTATACCAGAAGGGAAGCCCCAGTGCACTGTGGAAATTTACAGGATTCTAGGGGGATTTCCCCTGTTCTAAGATAGGGGTATCCTTTTACAGATGTTGGGAGTGGGGGTCCTGTTATATTCTGTAAGTAATTCTTTGTAATTTCACGGATAATGAGTTAATAGTCATCTTCATCTTTTGACCTAATTTAAATTCATTTTTTGTTTCATTTTATATTCTTTAATAACTACATATGAGGAATGTGATGTCTAAAGAACTAAGTTCAGTCCCTTCCTTTTTGTAAATTCTTCATGGGCCTCTACTAGTATTATTATCTTAATATTTATCAAGCAGATACTGTTCTTAAAAATAAAGTAATAATTTTCTTTGAAAAATAACTTATTTAGTATTCTAATGAATATCAAAAGTAATAAGGAAGGTTCCATCTGACCTTAATTCTTGAGAAATTTCTGAAGGTGTATGAAAAGAATCCCCAAACAATTTTCACTATTATTAACATCTTGTACGACTAGAGAAATATAAGTTCTTTGTGAAGAAACAAACATTTAAATTCCTTTTATTATTAAACACAAACTAAAATTCACTAATTTTGACAGAATAAATAGGTAGCAATTAGTCAACTACTTACCCAATTTGTGTTAATTTCTATAGCGTCAACCTAAAGATGAGAGTTTCCAGCTGAAGCCTGCAGGTGAGCTGAGGTAAAATGGAACCTGGGTCACCCCAACCCCTTCTTATGGCTAATTGGAAAACGAAGGCCCTAAATTCAGATTATTAATTTGAACAGATTGATTCAGGGCATAACACAATCCTCCAAGAACAAGGATGACAGGGATGAAACAAGGTTGTTAATGCAGGAGATATTTCTTTTTAGTTGTTTCCTTCTAGAGAAAAAAATGTAAACTTTTCCAATATTAACAGTGATCATAAATATACCCAAATATTTACTATGGGAATGTCCTCATGGTCGTTTTCTAAAAACTGTGGCAAAAACTTGTACGCGGCCACAGCATGAAGTGCTGCTCGTGACTGCTAGGGACAGAATTGTGTCCCCTCCCCCACTGCTCCCCACAGTCTTACCGTGAAGCCCTCTCTGCCAATATGACCATGTTTGAAGAGAGAGCTTTTAAGCGGTAACTAAGTGTAAATGGGGCCATCAGGGTAAGGGCTTAATCCAGTAGGATTGGTGCCCTTGTAAGAAGAGGGAGAGAGAGCTCTGTGTGTGTGTGTGTGTGCGTGCAGGCGCTGAGGAAACCCCACAGGGCATAGGCGAGAGGGCAGCCATCTGCAAGCAGAAAGACAGCTCTCGCGGGAAAGACAGCTCTCGCGGGAAAGACAGCTCTCGCGGGAACCTGACCCTGATGGTGTCCCGAACTTGGACTTCCAAAAATCTGTGTTCTCTCTCTGTCAAGGGCCTTGGTTTTAGAAACCAAATTCAAGTACCTGAGATCACTTACATTTTCTAATATTCCAAATGGATGTAAAAAGTATATAAGATAATCTTTCCGGAGCTGAGTCTCTTAAAGAGAACATTATTAAATACGTTGATGTAGATTTTGTCACATCATAAAAACCCTTGCGTAGACACAAAGACCTATCTCAAAAGCAATATGTGAAGAGGAAAAATGTTGCACTTCTTTTGTAATAGTGAACCAATCAAAATAAAAAATTCAGCTCTTAAAAGGATGCAGTTCTCTCATGGGGAAAGAACACTGCCTTTATATAAAATCTTTTCAGCAGAACACCGTAGGTTCCGTAAAACCCGCTGAGAGGTAAGCAGTATCCAGGACAATAAATGGCTCTAGTAAGAAAAGAAAGGTCTTCTCCTCTCCCTAAGTGCTATAATAATTACAAAGATGAAAACAAAGTGAAGGACAACCTGTTCCCCTTATAAATCGAATGTGAGTGCTCTGCAAGGTCCCAAGGAGCAGGAAAGGAGTTTGCTGTTTGTTAGCGTGTCTCGGGCTGAGCATGCAAGAGTAGGTGTGGCATGGTGTGGCAGGAAGAGTGTGGCCTTGGGATGAAGGCAGGCCTGGCTTGGAGTCTCTCCCACCATTTCCCTGTGGATGACAGGTCCATTCCTGAGACTTCCTCCATCCCCACTTTCATTTCTGCAGTCGGTGGATGGTAACAATACTGGCCTTGGAGGGCTGTGGGGAAATTACACGAGGAATCTGTAATGCTCCTTGTGTGGTCCCCAGCATGCATCCCACACATTTTAGTCTCCTGTACTCACCTTGGTTAAATAAAGAGAATGGTAACTATCTGCTTTTTAAAAAATAATGATGTGGCCCTCTATCAGGAGGAGCAGAGTGCGTCATATGGACCTCATGCCAGGACCTGGACAGTCTTTTTCTCTCTGTCCTCCTCATGACATCACCACCTCCAAGGCTACATCTGTAGGCAATATCACTCATCTCAAATATATTTTACTATTTCTGTCTTTGCCTCTGATTTTTTTTTTTTTTTTTTTTTTGGACAGCTACACTACCTTCATTTCTCAGTTCACTAAGCATTCTGACCTATTTCTTACCAGATACCAAGCAGATTGGAGTTGTTTACTCAACATAAAGGAAAGGTTGATTTCAATAATGAGAGAGAATCTAGGTGTTCATGGAATGTTGCATGAAATTCAGAAAAATAGAAATAATAGAAACAGCAGCACCACACGTAGAATAAAAGCCTGTACTTTGAAAGAAACGGACCTAATTTCAAACGTAGACTCTACTCATCACTAATATGGTGACCTGGGCAAAACCTTCAGACCTCTGATTTTCAGAGGTCTTCTCTAAAATGAAAATAATCCCATCTCACAGGGTAGTTGTGAGGTTGGAGAAGATTACATACATGAAGTTCTTAGCATAACATCTGTCATGTAGTAAGCCCCTGATAAATTATCATTAATGTCACTCAGATTGAGTACAGCATTTTGCCAAGTTAGTACTTGCATGTCTTACTAATGGCATGGCATAACTGGGAGCTGGTGAGGGCAGCAAAATAAAGGGGGCGTAGTTCTTTTTCTGGTGATTAAAAGCTTCTTGATCTTTGGTTTGTTGGAATAGTCTGTCTTTCATGATGTTTTGTGAATAATGAAAACAGAGACAGAGCAAGTAAACAGCTGACCTCCCATCCACCTGCTTTTGGACAGTTATTGAGCAATCATCAGGTTCCAGGCTGGCTATCAGTTACCTTTGTGTTCAGGGTTGAGAGGAAAGTGCACGCAGTTAGTTCTGTCTCCAGCATACATTCCCAGGCTGTCTGCTGCCTCCTTCCTTTTCACTGCACTCCTATCCTGGAGCCCTTGGGAGCAGCCATCAGGACTACTGCCTCCCCTAACCAGTCTCCCTGCCCCCACTCTCGCTTAACCATCCACCCATTACCTGCCAACAGTCAGAAAAATTTGCGAGAGCTATAAATCAGAGTCGGTCAGTCCTAGTTAAGAAGGCTTTGGCAAAATAGTTCCACTTTTCACCATGGCCTGTGAAGACCGTGTGTGCCTGGACCCTGAGCGCAGTTTCACATCTGATCGCATGCCCCATGCTTTCGGCTCCCATCAAATCAGCCTTCCTGAGCCCCTCCCCCCAGGGGTCAGGTTGCACCCACGGAGCCTGCCCATCCCTCAGCCTAGAAGGTTCAGGCACCTTGTCTAGGACTGTGGCTGCTTCTCATCCCATAGATCGAGTTTCAGTGCTGCCACCTAGGAGAGGCCCTCCTGGACTACCCCTCTCGCATACGTTCCCATCATCTCCACACGGCCCCCTGTCTACTTTCTATCAGAAGCACTAATCACAATCTATAATTACCCCTCTTATTTTTGTCATTTGTAAGTTCCAGGCAAGAGACACACTGCTTGTCACATTCTCTACTGTATTCTCTGCAGGCGGGGGGGGGGAGGGGGGTATGGCACAAAACAAGACCTCCATAAGTACTTGTTGAATGAATGAAGGATCCAAACATGGGCAAAAACAAAAGAAAAAAAATGTCATGTCTTCTTATGGTAAGGGTTAATGGAAATGTAACCTCGTGATCATCACAAGGGCACGTTGCTTAGTATACATACTTGGTATTGGACACCAGCAAGAAATCGCTGAATAAGAAGAGGTGCCGCTTCTGCCTCCTCCAGCCGCTCTTGAGCTCGACGGGGCCGTGGATAAGCAGGGTATGGGCGGCACCCTCAGATGATGTAGTGCTTTTGCTGCAGGCATCCACCTCAACAGAAGAGCTCTTCCTGCAACCCACCAAACACCACGGAGCAGCTAGTTACTAGTCAAATATACAATAGAGTTTTATGCTAAATGTCAAGGTTCGCACAACACTAAAATTTAGTCTCAACCCCGAAAGCAGAGCTCCAGAGCTCACATTCAGGGATCGCTGAGTTATAGAAAGCTATTGAAAGAGATGAGGTCGGACGTCTGGGTGGCTCAGTCGGTTAAGCGTCTGCCTTCAGCTCAGGTCATGATCCCAGGGTCCTGGGATCGAGTCCCACGTCGGGCTCCCTGCTCAGCGGGGAGCCTGCTTCTCCCTCTGCCTCTACCCCTCCACCCTGTTTGAGCTCTCTCTCTCTCTCTCTCACATGCTCTCTTTCTCAAATAAATAAACAAAATATTTTAAAAAAGGAGAGAGAGATGAGGTCACTTGGTGAATTGATGCAGATGGAGAACAGTTTCAAGGACAAAGCCCTTGGGCATGCCAACACTTAGACGTGGGGTGGAGAAAGCAGCAAAGCTAATCATGAGCTTTTAGGAAGGGGAGGATCAAGAGGTAGAGTGTATTACAAGAAGGCAAACAAACAACAACAACAAACAGGACAATTGGCGGCCTAATATAAAACAAAATGATATGGTGTGTGTGTGAAGAATTAATTACAATTTGCTTTCATCTTAAGATAAAAATGAAGACAACTGAAGATTCTGGAAATTTACTTATCTAAATCTATCTAAATCTTATCTAAATCAATATTCAAACTTGGGGGAAAAATTCTCAAAGATCGGCAAAAATACTGGAAACGTCAAAAAGTTTCTAAACACAAGAGTTTAGCTATTACTTGGCTGAGCTCTGACTGAGCTCTGATAGGACTTTCTGGTCATCATAGGTAAAACAGCTAAATTGAACAGAATGCAAAAGTTCTTTCATAAATAGGACAGATATTTTCATAGACCTGGGAAAATTCTCTCTCGTGGAGCCAAGAAAGTGTCTCCTCCGAGAATGTAAACCCTGCTCTCTTCAGCTCAGCAGCACTGAATCTTACGAACCTGAGTAGCCTTTCACGAAGCTGGTGCTGAAGTTACTCATTAGTTTACACGTATTAGAAGAAACAAAAGAGAACAACACTTCCTGTTATTGTCAGTCTGTTTTGAGGCTCAAAAATAGTATATCAAAAGACTACCTTCTGCAGTGAAGCCTTGAATGACCACCTATAAGTTCTGCATACTTTCTGAATGATGTGAACATCCTTTTGTCTTCAGTTCTCAGGACTGAAAATCAAGTGAGTCTACAGCACTAGGCAGAGTACTGTAAAATGCTTGAAGCCTGAGGATTCCACAGTAACCTGAGAGCACTACCATTATGATGTCACGGATCTAAGGCTCATGTCGTAACTGCCAAACTGACATACTTGTTTCCCTGATTTGGCCTGCACGTTTTGATTTTTTAAAAGTAATCTTTTTTATTTTGAGATAACTATAGATTCATATGTATCTGTAAGAAATAATACAGAGAGATTACATCAATTTTCTACAGATAGAGACTTCCAGACACTTCCATCACCACAAGGATCCTTCCTATTACCCTTTTACAACCACACAAACTTCCTTCCACCTCCCCCACCTCTTTAATCCCTGGCAATCACGAATCTGTTCTCCATGTGTATAATTTTGACATTTCAAGAATGGTATACAGAGGGGATCATATAGTATGTAACATTTTTGTGATTTGCTTTTTTCCACTCAATCAACATAACGGGAGAGTCATCCGGATTGCCACAGGTGCTCACAGTTCATTTCTCTGTGTCTCTTAGTAGTATGCCAGGATATGGCTGTATCACAGTTTGCTTCACCACCTGCTGAAGGAATTCTGGATTGTCTGCAGGCTTGGGCGTTCACTAATAAAGCTGCTGTAAACATCTGTGTACAGGTTTTTGTGTCAGCGTCGGTCTTCTCTCCTCTGGGCTAAATGCCCAGGACTCCAATTGCCAGGTCCTAGGGTAGCTGCTCTGTTTTGTTTTTTAAGACACTGTCTAACTGTTTTCCAGAATGGCTCTGCCATTTCACATTCTCACCAGTACTGTGGGAGTGATTCAGTTTCCCCACATCCACACTAGCATCCACACTGGCAACTAGTGTTGTCATTTTTTATTTTAGCTGTTCTGATAGCTGTGTCATGATATCTCACTGTGGATTTAACGCGCATTTCCCCAATGGTTAGTGATGCTAAACATCTATTTGCCGTGTGGACATCTTCTTCAGTGTGACGGAACCTACAGTAGTCTGTTAAAAACATTTTCCGTGGAGACGGTGTTCCCTGTCCACTAGAAAACTGACCATTTTACAGGTGAGGAGGTGCTTCACGGACAGGTTAGACGCTTTCAATTCAAGCAGCTGCGACATAACATGAAGGATTCAAATCCAGCTGACTCAGGAGGTCACTCAGCTTCCTGTGAGGGCCCCCACTCTTCTCACACGGACAGTGTCTTTCCTTTGACAACAGTGGAGGACTGAAATTTGATCCTACTAACAAAGTTCATGGTTTCCCTTATAGGCACCTCTAACAGGTATGTGAATCCCTCTCTTTTATTCCCCACTCGACTCTATGGGCCTCAAGGAAAGAGTCTATGTCTGATTTATCATTTTAATTCTCACAAACATTGGCACATTGGAGGATTTCAAAAATTCTCTTGAATGGGTGAATGAAAGAGTTTTCTGGCATGGATGGATGGGGAAAAGGCATGACCTAAACTAGTCTCTCTCTCATTTACTTCATTCATTCAACAGATAGTGTTTGAACCTGTACTAGGAGAAAGAAACTTGCTAGGTCTGGGCAACAGAGAGCCAGGCCCAACTCTCACAAAACCAGGATTTAAATGGGGGGTGGGGGGGGCAGAAATTAAACAAAGAGTGTCATCAATAACTGTGTAACACCAGACTCTGGAAAGTACTGCAGAGAAAAATTAAAGAGTGAGATGAGAAATTAAAAGAGGGACCTGAGGGCGCCTGGGTGGCTCAGTCGGTTAAGCGGCTGCCTTCGGCTCAGGTCATAATCCCAGGGTCCTGGGATCGAGCCCCGCATCGGGCTCCCTGCTAGGCGGGAAGCCTGCTTCTCCCTCTCCCACTCCCCCTGCTTGTGCTCTCCCTCTCTCGCTGTGTCTCTCTCTGTCAAATAAATAAATAAAATCTTTAAAAAAAAAAAAAAAAAAAAGAGGGACCTGACACCTGATTTCAGTTGTGAAGAAGTCTCCTTTGAAGAGCTCCTTTAAAATGAGCTTTAAAGAATAATTAGGGATTGATTAGAGAGAGGAGAGAAAAGAGGAAGGCAGAGGGAAGGGACAAGAAGAGAAGTGTATTGGAAGGGAAGATACATTTTTCAGCTGAAGGGACAGAATGCGAATATGTGACGTTTCAGAGACATGGAAGAGTTTGCTAGTTTGGAGATACAGGCAGAAGGTACAGGAGCATGAAATATGCCTGAAAAAGTAGGTAGAGGCAAGAGCACAAGTCCTGGTAGACCTTTTAGACTTTACTGAGGCCTCTCATCTTAAAACCAAACTAGCACAGAAGTGACATGTAGATAGTGGCCTTCAGACTTTTCACCACTTTTATTTTTTTTAAGATTTTATTTATTTATTTGGGTGGGGGGTAGCAGAAGGGAGAGGGACAAGCACAAACAGTGCTGAGAGTGGAGCCTGACCTGGGGCTCGATCTCACAGCCCTGAGATCATGACCTGAACCAAGATCACGACCTGAGCCGAGATCAAGAGTCAGAAGCTTAACCGACTAGCCACCCAGATGCCCCTTCTCACCACTTTTAAAGGGACAAGTGCTAGTCTGGACATGTTTGATTGTATTAGAACCATGGAGGCTCATGGGGCAACACTTTCTGGCCTCCCATCAAGCATCTGTCAACATTTATTTAATGTAAAAATGTAGGCAAACTTATCTCTGCACCTTCCCCAATTCCCAGATTATGTCCCATTTCTCTGCCTCTCCCTTCAGAGAGGTTAGAGATTTAGAGACCAGGAAAACTCTCCTTCTAGAATCTAGTATCTGCTTATCAATACTGATATGCATCAGTCTCACTTGGGGGAGTTTTCAGGCACTCCCTCTGTAACCCCCAGAGGTTCTGATTCATCAGATCCAGAAAACCTGTATTTTGAAAAATTTTTTGAGTGATTCTTGTATGTAACCAGGATTGTGAGTTACTAATCTTCAGGAATTAATTGAGAAAGATGTAGTGTTCTGATTCTATCTTCCACTTGTAGTAAAGCCAAGGAGAGAAAAGTTTTCTTAGAAAGATAAAGGGAGCTTTCCTTAGTCATGTAATAGTTACATTTACAGTAATAGCTAAAGCTTAATTTCTTCTAAAATACCATTGCTACTTATTTTAATTTGATGAATGAGCTCTAAATAGAATAACAGTGATAGGGTTTGTTTTCATCTATTTCATCTATTTCATCTATTTCATCTATTTCATTGAACACTTAACTTTTCACCCTAAATATCAAATAGAAGAGATAGTATAAGGTAATCCTATGCCCATAATACCAATATTTTTAAGCATGTTGCAAAGACAAGACTATTTAAAAAAAAATTTTTGAAGATTTTATTTATTTGAGAGAGAAGTGAGAGAGAGAGAGAGAGCATGAGCAGAGAGGGGGGTGGGGGGGAGGGGGAGAAGCAGACTCCCCTATGAGCAGGGAGCCCGATGTGGGGCTTGATCCCAGGACCCTGAGATCACGACCTGAGCCGAAGGCAGATGCTTAACTGAATGAGCCATGCAGACTATTTTCTTAATTCAATTTCTTTCTTTTAATTTTTTTATATTTATTTTATTTCAATTCCAGTATAATTAAGTGTTATTATTAGTTTCAGGTGTACAATAGAGTGATTCGATAATTCTATACATTACTCAGTGCTCATCATAAGTGTACTCTTAATCCCCATCCCCCCACCCACCTTCCTTCTGATAACTATCAGTTTGTTTTCTATAGCTAAGAGTCTGTCTTTTGGTTTATCTCTTTTTTATTTGTTTTGTTTCTTAAATTCCACATATAAGTGAAATCATATGGTATTTGTCTTTCTCTGACTTATTTCACTTAGCATTATATCCTCTAAATCCATCCGTGTTGTTGCAAATGGCAAGATTTCATCTTTTTTATTGCTGAATAATATTCCATTGTGTGTGTGTATGTATATATATATACATATATATATATGGACACTTATATATATATATATATATATATATATACACACACACATATATATATATATATATGTGGACACTTGGGCTTGCTCCATAATTTGGCTACTGTAAATAATGTTGCAACAAACATAGGGGTGCATATATCTTTTTAAATTAGTGTTTTTCTTTTTTTAAAGATTTTATTTATTTATTTATTTATTTATTTATTTATTTATTTATTTATTTGAGAATGAGAGAGGGTGAGCAGACAGGTGGGGGCAGGGGCAGAGGAAGAGGGAGAGGGAATCTCAAGCACACTCTGTGCTGAGCGCAGAACCCAATGTGGGGTTCGATCCCATGATCCCGAGATTATGACCTGAGCTGAAACCATGAGCTAGATGCTTAACCGACTGAGCCACCCAGACACCCCACAAATTAGTGTTTTTCTATTTGGGGGGTAAATACTCAGTTATGGATCATATAGCTATTCTATCTTTAATTTTTTGAGGAACCTCCATATTGTTTTCCACAGGGGGCTGCACCAGTTGGCATTCCCACCAACAGTGCACAAGAGTTCCTTTTTCTCCACAATCTTGCCAAAACCTGTTGTTTCTTGTGTTGTTGATTTTAGCCATTTGGACAGGTATGAGGTGATAGCTCATTGTGGTTTTCATTTGCATTTCCCTGATGATGAGTGATTTGAGCATCTTTTCGTGTCTGTTGGCCATCTGTGTCTTCTTTGGAGAAATGTCTGTTGATGTCTTCTTCCTATTTTTAAATTGGATCATTTGGTTTTTTGGTGTTGAGTTGTATAAGTTCTTTATATATTTTGGATACTAACCTTTTATATCCTTTGCAAATATCTTCTCCCATTCAGTAACTTGTCCTCTCGTTTT